TTGTTCAGATGAATCAAACTTTTGTTTATGTATGAATCAACATATGAATGTCGTCAAAATTTGAAAGACCTTACAAATTGATATATGTAAGAAAATCGTCAAAATTTACCATATATTTCAATATGTGTGACACCACAAATCTAAACTGTAAAAGACCACACTTAACAATTGGATAAGTGGTCGTCTCCATTGCTCAATCTCAAGCAAAATCTTTAGAGCCTATAGACAAAACGACAGAGCTAAGTAAAACTCTTGCCAAGAAGCTTCTTTGCTTGAAGACAACTCTATGACAAAACTCTTGATGGTATATAACTATTTTCAATGGTAAACTTTAACCAAAGGGATCTTGAATGCTTTCGGCAAGAAGGGAATGGCCCTGGGATTGTATTCCAAGTCGCGATACAGTTTATACTCCGCTTCATAGTCATGAAGCTTAAGCTCTGCTTTCTGATTAGTATGGTAATGGTGCTTGCTCGAATTCATCTTCCCAAACCCGAAAACGCTAACTTTCTCACAAACTCCAACCGCAAGCATCACAGCCTGCATACCCGACGAGTAGTGAAACAAGGAGCCTTCGTGATCTTTACTCCAATCTTTAAACCCTTTCGCTGTCTTCTCTTCCAAGAACCTCTTCACCGAGTAATACTTGACGATCCTAGCACAGAGGACATCGAATCTCGGATCCGTGATAACCAGAGGAGCTCGGTGAGAGCGTTTGCAAACTGTGTAATCCAAAACGTGAATCGGCTGGCAAATGTACATGACGATAGGCACTGTTTCTCCATACGGATGGCAATTGCAGCTTTCCTTTCTCGCACACTGATTCAAAATGTTGCTGTTTATGAATGATATGTTCGTTTTGGATCCCACCTTCTTCTCGAACCTCTGCGTTTTGGCATTGTTCATGCGGATCACAATCTCGTGTTTATCTATGAGATCTCCGTATTGGCGATTAAGCAATGTGCCGCTATTCCCAACTACGGCGCAAGATGAATATCTTTTACTCGAAATGGAGTGAGAATCGATCGGAATTTTGACCAGTCTGACCAAATCTAGCATGATATCGGGTTCGTAAGCTTTTCTACGAGCCCAGAGCTGTAGATTTCTCCTGAATTCTGACCAGTAACGATATACCTGAGGGGAGCGAAGCGTTACCGGGAAATTGGAAGTGATGTCGTTACGGTTTCCACGGCGGCGGCCGTCGATCGGCCTTGACATGGAGCTGAAATAGCGGCGGTGGCTTCTCCGAGTGTTGTCGTAATCGGAAATCAGATCGACCTCCTGCTTGAATTTGGGCTCGCCGGGATCAATGGCGGCGAATTCGAGCAGTGTCTCGTTGAATACGAGTTCCTCCGTCATGAGGCCGGAGTTGCCGAGCTCAGCTATGGCGGAGCTGAAGGAGAAGCTTCTCCGGCGAATCGCGACTCTGCAGATGAGTGTGGCGGCGAGGAAGCCGAAGAAGAGAGCGCTGAAGAGAGGCCGAACGGATCGTTTCATCGTCGACGCCGTGAACGAGGAAGCTAAGAGCCCCCAAAAAAGGCGGCGCGGGTCGGATCTTGAGATGGTTATCATCAGGGTCGTAATCGGGTATTAAAAAAATCTGTAAATCAAAATCTTATACCAAAGCTATAATAAGAATAATTAAATTGTGAATCTCAGAAGATATGGTGAGTTCATTATCAGAAGAAGGTGGAAGAAAGAGAGGAAGGTGAAGAGATGGGTTTGTGTGAAATTGAAGTCAAAGAGAGGGAAGACGACATTGGTGCTGAGGAGAGAATGATAATTCAAATAAAGTTGGGTGAGATATGGCAGACCTATAATGGAGATCTGAAGGAGGGTAGATCCATTTCAACCAACATTAAACAAACAAATCATTACTCTCTCTCACTCTCATTCTCTCTCACTCTCTCATTCTTTCTCTCTTTGTTGTGTGCCCCGTACACTTTAGAGTTGGAGGAGAGAGAGTCTGTGGTAGTTTGTTGCCGTCAGCAAACTTCTTTAACTCCGAATCGGGTAACAATTTAATTTTGCTAAACCATTCGTTGGTTAACTAGGCTTTTTTGTCGGCGGGCTTGGCCCAAACTACTACGAACGGACTCTATTAATTTAGTTTGAGTTAGGATTTAAACTCAGTTTTCCTTTTACTAACGGCGAGTACGTTCCTTGTCATTTATAAAAACAGTTAGAAATTCGTCTCACCCGCCAGAAACAAGTCAGACGCCTCGACGTTTTTATGTTCTACACACAAACACTCGGTTGTTTCTTAGAATTTTTTTTTGCCTCAACGTCAAAATTTCCATTTCTGGAAAAGAGACAAGAATCGTGTAGCCTTTCCTTCCTCATTCTCTGTCACAGAGTCCTCCAATCATATGGTTTCCTTTTTTATCTGGGAAAATATCTGATCCACGGCTCTATATAGGGTTCCTTCGATCCTCCATCATCTGAATTTTTCGATTAACCTTTCAATTCTCAGTTCATCATTGATTCCTGTAAACCCTAAATTATGTACAGCAATTTCAAGGAACAAGCGATTGAGTATGTTAAGCAAGCGGTTCAAGAGGACAATGCCGGAAATTACAGCAAGGCTTTCCCTTTGTACATGAACGCGCTCGAGTACTTCAAAACCCATCTCAAGTACGCGAAGAACCCTAAGATCAGAGAAGCTATCACCCACAAATTCACCGAATACCTCCGCCGCGCCGAGGAGATCCGCGCTGTTCTAGACGGAGGTGGATCCGGTCCCGGATCGAACGGAGACGCAGCGGTCGCCACAAAGCCGAAGTCCAAGCCCAAAGGCGGAGAGGGCGGAGGAGATGGAGAGGATCCGGAGCAATCGAAGCTCCGAGCTGGGTTAGACTCTGCTATCGTGAGGGAAAAGCCTAATGTGAAGTGGACGGATGTTGCTGGCCTTGAAAGTGCCAAGCAGGCGTTGCAGGAAGCTGTCATTTTGCCCGTCAAGTTCCCACAGTTCTTCACTGGTAAATGTTCGTACTTTATTGGATTCGTCGATGTATTAGAGAGCCTGAATCAGATTTGATTGTTATATAATTAGGAAAGAGACGGCCGTGGCGAGCTTTTCTCCTCTATGGGCCTCCTGGAACTGGGAAATCGTACCTGGCCAAGGCTGTTGCTACTGAAGCAGACTCTACATTTTTCAGGTAACATACGTTTGTTGCCTCTCTCTCTCCGGTGGATATTCTGATTACTGTGTTTTGAATACTTGTATTCGTTTTGCCTCCCAACCATTAGTGTGTCTTCGTCGGACTTGGTGTCGAAGTGGATGGGTGAAAGTGAGAAGCTAGTATCGAACCTTTTTGAGATAGCCCGTGAGAGTGCTCCGTCAATCATTTTCGTCGATGAGATAGATTCTTTGTGTGGTCAACGTGGAGAAGGCAACGAGAGCGAAGCTTCAAGACGTATTAAAACAGAGCTGCTTGTTCAGATGCAGGTGAAAAGGTTAATAGATGCAAACCTTATGGAATTGAATTATTAGCAGAAACGTGACTTCTCCCTCTCCCTCTCTCTCTTAATTTAGGGTGTTGGACACAATGATGAGAAAGTGCTCGTTCTGGCAGCAACAAATACACCGTATGCTCTTGATCAGGTGAAATTCATAAGAGTGATTTGGCTTTTAGCATTCTTTTTTGCCAGCTCTAGAATTAAAAGATTATGTTGATTACAGGCTATTAGGCGACGTTTTGATAAGCGTATCTATATCCCTTCTACCGGATGTGAAGGCTCGGCAGCATATGTTCAAAGTATTATACTGACTCTTCTAAATCTAAACGTTCCTCATTTTGGATTAACCCAATCGTTTTCCTTTTGCCTAATGATATCCGTGTTGTATGATGCAGGTGCATTTGGGAGACACCCCTCATAATTTGAACGAAGCTGATTTTGAATATTTAGCTCGCAGGACAGAGGGATTTTCTGGTTCGGATGTGGCTGTTTGTGTAGGTGGCTTGGCCTGAGTTATCATTTCTAACCTTGGAAATAAACAAGTATTTGTTCTAAGTGGTTTTTACGTTGTTGCAGGTAAAGGATGTTCTGTTCGAACCTGTAAGGAAAACCCAAGATGCCATGTTCTTTTTCAAGTCTGCTGATGGGACGTGGATTCCATGTGGGCCTAAACAATCTGGTGCCATTCAGATTACAATGCAGGAGTTAGCAGAAAAAGGGCTCGCTGATAAGGTAAGCCTCAAAAAGTTTGTATGCATTTATCCTCGAAGCTGTTTTGATGATGATAGACATAGACTAAGAGCTTATGCTTGCTTCTTTTTGTTTTGACTCATCAAAACATAAAACAGATAATTCCACCGCCTATCGCAAGAACAGATTTTGAGAAGGTACTAGCAAGACAGAGACCGACTGTGAGCAAGTCTGATCTTGAGGTCCATGAGAGATTCACAAAGGAATTTGGAGAGGAAGGCTGATGATTAAATGGTTCGGCATCATCATTAGTGTCGGGGAGAAATTTCAGAGTCGCCGGTTATGTATGTATGAAGAAGAACAAACGTTCTCTGGTTTGATGCACATCATTGAGTTTTCTTCATTTCTTTTATTTGTGTAAATTATTTCAGACATGATTGTTGCCATTTGTTAGAGTCGGTGCCCGATTTACACTCTTGTGGGTATACAACTATACATACATATTCTTAAATTTCTCCTCTAATGTACATGTTTTAGCAATGAATACACAGTCCATTTTCAACTAAAAGATTGAGTCATAAAAACTAAACCGGATTGGGTCCAAATATAATATAATTAAATTATCAAAAAGAAGAAAATAAATCTTATCTTGCAGGAGGCAAGTAGACCTGTTATTACGAACACATAAAGCTATGTAGCACATCATATATAGTCCATGGAGGAGCAGCAAATGCAAGTGAGAGAATAATATCCAATTCAGGATCGATACGGAAGATAGACAAAACTAGCATCAGAAAGTATACGTTTCCAAATTTAACATCAATTCTAGCACAACATGAACTTATCAGCTTTTACCTTAGACCCTTGAGAAAATGCTGGAACATCTCAATGAGAAGTGCATCATAACCAAGATCCAACATCAGAACACATACTTGGCTTTTAGCCATAGTATTAAGGATGGATGTCCGTTTGGTATAGGAGAGACTAGATTTGTCATCTAGGTGTTCAAATGATGAGACAATTAACTGGAATACTTCCTGCGAATAAATTCAAAGAAACAAGTCAGTGACCAAAACTGCATTGTGCTCATTTGCGTAAGTTAGAAAAAAAAGGAATGTACCTTCATCTTGTCATCATCATATGGAGCAACTGGACCATTTATTCTCAGAACCTCAGTGATACAGGAAGCGGTAAAGAGTTTGACATCGACATTTGAATGCTTCAAGAGTGTTTCAGCGGATAACGCTTTCATCAACGGAGAGAGAGCATTCTTAATTGATGAGGGAGGTGACTGTTCCACCGTTAACAGGAAGTAGAAATGTTTCTACAGCCAAAAGGTACAATGGAATGATCAAGAACTCAAAATCACAGCAGCCCACACCAAAAATTGAGTCTAAAATATATATAACATCACCATTCAACAAAAAGAAGGTTTCAAATTACAATTAAAACACTTCCCAGAAAAAGAAAAAAAAAATCAGATTTTTAATTTCATTCTGTTTCAAAAGAGCAAGAAAGTTGTATTCTTTGGACAGAAAATGTCAGAAGATTCCAAAGATGACGAGAAACAAAGCACACGACTAAAAAAATCCACACATTAGACGGAAACGAAAATGGTGAAGGAGCTGACTCACGTCGAGAAGTTGTAGAAGCTTCTCAACAGGAAAAAGTGTTGGGTCAAGATCAAGAAGAGTTTTCCCAGCTTCCGAAATCAGAATCGTCCTCAGCTTCGTATCGAGCTCTTTATCAGAAAAAGCCCACATGACTCCTCCTCCTCCTTGAGCTCTCTCTTATTGTGCTAATTTACAAGAGATTTCTCCAAACCCTAGCTACGAAATCAGGAAGCAAGATTAAGCTAAGCAACGACGAGAATTGCAACGCTCACTGAACAAGACGCTAGGGTTGGTTTCCCACTCTTTTCTTTCTCTCTTTTACTCAGTTTTACAGTCTACATAAGGAAAGGAGGAAACTTTATCGGCGGAGATAATCCTCAGCTCTGTTTAATGAAGCGATGGTTAAAAGAGAAAGAAGAAAAGAGAGAGAAAATGGTTTTATATTGCTAAGTTTTGTATTGATGAAACATTATGTTACATGCAAATGTTAATATCGTCTTTCAGGTTCTAATTCGTATTTACCAGTGACAAATCGATTTGAAACTTCAAAAACAAAAAAAAACATATGGATGGTATCAAACATCAAATAGCTAAATTAGAGCAGCATTTCCTCTTCAATACCATATTACATTCAAAGATCAAGGTTCATTATCAACACAACCATGTGAGTACTTACTTACCAAACATCAACCAAAGACTTCACGAGTTATATCTGCCCAAAAAACCCTATCACATGAAGCAGATCATTCTTCAGAGATGGGTCCAAGGTAGTCCCCTTTAAGACTAGCCAGCGCCTGAAACTCCCTCTCAGCATCCATCCACTGCGTCGCCACCACCAAGAACCTAACCGTAGTCTCCACCTGAATCCTCGACATCTTGTCGTTCATGAAGATCGGGTTCTCTCCATGGACGAACTTGTAGTCCGGCATCAACGAGTTGGAGATGTAAACATTCTCCACCGGACCACACCTCAGGAACACACCGTGCTTCAGAATCTTGTGAACCACACCTTGAAGTATCTCACCTGTGAAGATCTTGAAAGTAATCCCGCTGAACACCACAGGGAACATGACTTCGCCGGTGTGCTCCCTGATCTTGCCTTCTCCGATCTTGTCAAGATCCGTGACTGTCAAGTAGTAGCCGAGCTCATTGGTGGCTTTCTTCGAAGCGAATGCTTCCAGTAACTGTACTATTATCTCTCTCTTCAGCATCAGCCCTTTTGCATCCATGGTTTCAGCTGGAATCATCACGTTCCAAGGTATCTGAACTTTGAGAAACATTCTTCAACCTTCAAAATCAAATAAACACACTGTCACGCATAGAAATGATTAACTTCAAAATCAAAATCAAATATACATATTACCACTGATACAGAGACTATAAATGATTAACTACAACCAAAGCAGGACAGAGAGAGAGAGAATAAGGAAGCAGACAATTTCGTTGTAGGTTCCTCTCTGAAATCAGCAATGTAAGTTTCAACAATCCGCATCAGTGACATTATATCAACACAATGCAACTACAAGATAAGCTAAATCATTTACTCCCACTACAATTTCTGCTCAAGATAAGATCAAAGTTTCAGTTTTTTTTCAAAGAATGTGAACACGATCGCCTTGGGATTCAAATCTATGCATGTACCAGTAAAAGTACCAGTTCCACCAATCTACGTTACTCGAACAGAAAATAGAAACCGTTTTCACAGTATACACTTAACAAGACGAACTTGGAACAAAATCTAATGAAAAAAAAAAAAGTGAGCTTTTCAATGAATAGTTTTCTGCCAAGCATTTAAAGAAACAGTACGCAGGCATGTCAAATCTTCAAAACATCTATCAAAAGCTAACAACTTGTAGAGAAACAAAGGAACCACAAAGCTTTCCATATACATTCTACGATTAAGAACCAAAACCATCGTTTTTCCAAATATTGTTCTACCAAACCACCCTGGACTAAAAAATGTCCTGTCATGCATATATACAGAGACTAGAGATGATTTACTATAATCAAAGCAGGACACAGAGAAAGAATAAGGAAGTAGACAATTTCGGTGTAGGTTCCTCTCTGAAAGCAGCAATGTAAGTTTCACCAATCCGCATCAGTTTCATTATATCAACACAATGCAACTACAAGATAAGCTAAATCATTTACTCCCACAACAATTTCTGCTCAAGATAAGATCAAAGTTTCAGTTTTTTTCAAAGAATATGAACACGATCGCCTTAGGATTCAAATCGATGCATGTACCAATTCCACCTATATACGTTACTCAAACAGACAACTGGAGCCGTTTTTTCACATCATACATCAACACTGTCATGCATATACAAATATTACCAAAGCAGGACACAGAGAAAGAATAAGGAAGTAGACAATTTCGGTGTAGGTTCCTCTCTGAAAGCAGCAATGTAAGTTTCACCAATTCGCATTAGTAACTTTATATCAACACAATGCAACTACAAGATAAGCTAAATCATTAACTTCCACAACAATTTCAGCTCAAGATAAGAAAAAAGTTTCAGTTTTTTTTCAAAGAATCTGGATAAGATTATAGCCTTACAAGATAGCTAAATCATTAACTTCCACAACAGTTTATGCTCAAGATAAGATCAAAGTTTCAGTTTTTTTCAAATAATCTGGACATGATCCCCTTGGGATTCAAATCTATGCATGTACCAGTAAAAGTACCAATTCCACCTATCTACGTTACTCAAACAGAAAACAGGAAACCCTTTTCACGTTATACACTTAACAGGACGAACTTCGAACAAAATCTAATGGAAAAAAAAAGTGAGCTTTTCAATAAAGAGTTTTCTGTCAGGAATTTAAACAAACAGTACGCAGGCATGTAAGTATCCCAGGTAAAATCTTCAAAACTTCCCTCAAAAGCTAACAATTTGAATAGAAACAAAGAGACCCAGAAAGCTTTCCATATACATTTTACAATGAAGTACCAAAACCATCGTTTTCCCAAATATTGTTCTCGCAAACCATCGTCGACTGAAAAATGTCATGAAAATTTGTTTGAGAAACAGCAAATTCAAAGAGACGTACCTTCGCTTTTAGATGCCGAATGTAGGAAAAGAGACGAGAATCGGTAACAGAGAGCTAGACTGGTTTTGGAGAATCAACGATGCAAGCGAGAGAGAAAGAGACTGCTACAGACTACAGTCGTCTGTCAATGCCTCCACAGTATACTGAGAAAGAGAAACTCAGGTGGCCTCGATTTCGGGTTTTATACGGGCTTTAAAGGCCCATTACTATTAATACTCTATTCTTGGCCCATTGTTATGCTCACAGCCAAACCATGGGTTAAAAGTTAAAACGATAATTTTTTTGTCTTCAAAAAGTGTTACCGGCGCAAATGGAAAATGGCACTGCCTAAATTGGTGCCATTTGCTCAAGTATCTAATCGGTATTATATCTCAAAATTTCAACGGCGTTGTTCATATAAGCTTTTCCAGATCTTACAGTAAGACGGTTTTGATTATAATCTCAAAAGAAACTACCATGCTACTAATTCCGATTTACAACACAAATAGAACAAAACCAAATAAATTGGGGTTTAATTTAATCAGTCTTAAACCGGAACTTTCTCCGGAATTCTGGCATTTCCGGTTACACTCAAACTGTCGTAGTAATCAACAAGCACCTTCCAGCCTCCAGGACACATAAATCCATCTGGAGGACTTTCTTTGTTCTTCGCTAATCCTCTCATCTACAAAAACCAAACCACATTTACTAATCAGAAATTGGATACTCTTTACTTAAATTATATTAATGTCCTAATTGATCTGAGAAACTGTAAAGTACCTTAGTCCCAGAGATGAACAAGAAATCTTGAGCTCTTGAAGGATCAAAGAAAGCCATCTTGCCTTGTGTCTTATCATACGCAGCAACCTAAACAAACCAATAAAAACCAGAAAATCAGAACTCAAAAAGCCTAAATCTTTGAAGGAGATAATGATCCCGAGAAGTAAAGTACTCGTTTTTTTACCCTGAAAGGAAGAATCTTGAGCCGTTCGAGTCCAGGAGCCATGCTCAGTACTTTCTTCCCATGATCAGCATCATACAGATCACGTTTCTCCACCGGATGACCCATCCCAGCCGGATCTCTACCCACAATGTAGAAGTTAGCACCCGCATTGATCCTAGCCTTTGCATGCCACTGCACTTCCGTTGGACCAGCGTACAACATCGGAGACGGGAATATCGAAACCACAGTCGTCTCCGGATCAAGAACACCATCCTCCAACACCTAATTCAACCCATAAAAACCAATTTAGCATCTCCTATAAAGTTAACACACATAAAACAGACTTCCTCTGCTTGCGTTTGAATTTACCTTCTCGTGCTGTTTCATTCTCCAGCTCAGAGGAACATCGTCCGCTTTGGTGAACCCTCCAAGCGGATGTAGCAGAAGGATCGGGTTCTTGTATCCCATCTCAAGAAGTCTCCGGCGAGTGTCCGTCATGAGAAGCGCGTGTCCGTTGTGAACAGGGTTTCTCAGCTGGAAGGCGAAGACCGCATCAGCGCCACGTTTCTCCAGCTCTTTCCGGAGCTCCAACGGCGAGAGCCTGAACCGGTCAAGCCCGTCGTTGTACTTGACTGGCTCAAGAACCTCAAGTTCACCACCAATGAGCCAGTTTCCGGCATTGGTTATCGCTTCTTCCACGTAAGGCAAGCCCGGCGCCGTCGTGCCCCAAGTTCTCGCTATTCGCTCTTCTTTCGGATGTTTGTAAATCTCAATGCTGATGCAAAACATAATCACAATCACAATCACAATCACAGATATTGTTAATAAGCAATCTCTAAATCGAAAGATTGATTCCTCAAATCCTATGGAAATTTCAGGCCATTTTCAATTGATTTTGGATCCTAATGAGATCGACTTACTCGCTGAGGATAGCGATTGGATTATCATCGGAATCGACGAGAGCGACGCGTTTCGATTCTCCGATTAGGGCTTTCTGTTCATCGTCGATCGCGAGAACGATCGGGACGGACATGTTAACGACGGATCCGTCGTCGAGGCGAAGCGAATTGAAATGAAGAGTTTGGAGGAACTCAGATTCCCTCATGAACCCTCGGAGCGGACTTGCCCAGCCTTCGCTCAACACGTGCATCCACTGTAAATCGATCGCCGTCAATTTCACCCGCGGCAAATCCGCCGCCTCGTGTTTCTTCTCCCGTCGTCGCGGCTCCGGTACAACGAGCTCCACCAGTTTCCCGCCGTCCGGCTTGATTAGCCCGGCTCGTACTCGGAAGGAGGATCTTAGGCTGCGAGATTTCGAATACGAGGGGAATGAAATGGATGTGGTTACGGAATCGGATTTGTGGGATTTGGTGAGAGGTTGAGATAGGAAAGGGGTTGTTTTAGCGAAGGCGGTGGACATGGAAGCCATTGGAGAAGGTACCAATGGAGATTGAGAATGTGAATTTGCTTGCTTTCAAGCTTTTCTCTAATGGAGATTGAGAATCTTCTTCTCTGGTTTGATTTTTCCAATTTAATTTGAAGTGGAAGAAGAAGTGAGTATGCTTTTATAGATCCATGGTGATTAGTTTAAGGGCCGTCTTGGAAAATGTACCTGGACACTTGTATTTTTCTTATTAAATAAAAATAATTAAGAGTTTAAGACCATGTTTACGTTTTTATTTTTTACTTTAATTAAATGTTTTTTTTATATTTATATTTAATTTATTACTTTAATTTTTGTCGTACGTTTTTCTTTTTTTGGGACATAAAACGATTAAGAAAATCTCAAACACTAAACTATTGACAACAGAAAACAGCAAATTATGTTTTGAAACAAGAATTTGAGTTAGGACCAATGGTACAAACGAACTTTATCCAAGAACACGTCGAGATTCGACCAGCACTTTGCTGACGATCGACTAAACAAATAGTGAATATAGAATCACGTGAAGGACCATCAGTCACCAATATTCTCTTGATCCCACTTGAATTAAATGTTCATTATATAACAGTGTATTTCTCCATTTGTCTACGGCAAAATTATAGTGCCGGCTCAAGAAAATTGGATCTATTTGATCAAACTTATTAATGAAGAGCTCATCACTTTTGACCTGACTTTATTTAGACCTGAATCTACATCTGAATCTTTCTTTTTTTTCCTTTCTGACGGCGAAATGATTTGTTTTTTCTTTTGTCCATCCTTCGCAGATCAAATAATCAATATTTAATGCTTTATCTTGCTAAAAAGCATAGAATGTCGCAAGTTGAATCAATTTATTGGTGGCTTAAGGGATCACATTCAACATGTGCAAAATAAGACACCCAAGGCTTGACCTACCCTCGTATTCACTCATATATAGCGACAATTGAAAAAAGCGGATATTCTATCCATATCACAAATTTTATATATGTATGTTTTGTTCGCTATCGATCTATTTAAATGTTTTAGAGATCTATCTTATAGCATTCGTTTTCTTTTTCTTGTTAATTTTTCTTTTTTATAGTTTTCGGTTTTCTAATCTTGTTAACAAATTTTTCTTTTTGACAAAGACAATGAATGTTGTTATTCGTGGTCTCATGGGAGTGATTTTGTAATCATAAAACGCTTTTATGAAACAAGGTGGTGGAAACCTTCGAATGTTGAACTCGTGTAGCCTAAATCTTGAGTACGTTAAACCCAATGGCAATATCCAATACTATCTTAAATCTGTGGTTAATTAAGCCCGATTTTGTAAGAGCCAACAGTCCTCTGAGAAGAGAAGAACCTCACAAGTTTTTAAGCATTGTTGAACTTGATACCTTTTTTAGAATTATGCTTAATACGGCCCAAACAATTAATTTTGTAAAATATAGAGAATATGTTTTTGTGTTTCTCTTATATCTTGTGCTTATTACCCATTAAACGCAAGAGTGAGCTTATGAGCTTCAAGGCCTTACGTTCGGGCCATGCTGAAAACCTCCTGTATTACTTGGGAGTCTTGAAGTGCCTTAATTCATCACAAGAACACTTGAAGTCTTCACACTAGTGTCTTCAAGTTCCCATTTTTCCTGAAATGAATTAGTCCACTCGATATGAAGATTACGAAATCATCCTTAATATGTTTTGATTAAGATTTTTAGCAAATAATACTTCAAATCTGAGATATCTATAATTATCTATGTTCTTATTTACCATTTCAATGTGTGTAAAAACACTTGTACGTAGGAGAATTGGGCACGGAGTCATGAGAAAGAAAAGAATCAAAGTAGTGATCATGGGTCTGGCATAACGAAGTTCACTAAGTTCCAACACGAAACAAAGGTGAATGCGACCTCTCTCGATCGAAACTACCAAAAACAAAAACTTGCAAGTGAGTGACTGTGAGCCATTTGTTTTTAACTTTTCTTACAACAATCTTTTTTACGTTTTTTTACCAAACCGTTGGCTGATCAGAAAACGACAAGGAGGATGTAAGTTTGTGTGTGTGTGTGCTGAAGAAAACCACGTCATCAGTTTACTTTGCACTTTTCAACTAGACGTGGCTCCTTACAGATCCTCACCTCACTTTCCTCTCGTCTTTTGGAATTTTCTTGTCTACGTGTTCTTGTATTTAGCGTTCAAACGCAAACTCGTATTTATTACCGTTCAATATGATTAAGCTAATTGGCATATTGATTTGTGTTACGATAAGTGTTGGAAACTTTTTTGGGAAAATTGGAATTAAAGGATATTTTATATGTATGTTTGGTGATCTACACCTTTTTTTTTCTACTTTGGGGATTAGTCTTTATATGAGTTTAAAGTACAAATATATTCTAACTAATTAAAAACTATAAATTTTTATTTAAATATACATTTATAAACAAAATATATAAAATTTAGGGTTTATTGTATGTGAAATTTTTTTTAAGTTCTTCTTCTTTTTGTTGAGACGTTAACCAAATAAGTTTAGAGCACCATTTCTATGAGTGTGATTAACCCTAACTCAAAGTATTTTATTCTACTCTTGTGAAGATTTTGCATTCATATTCAAACTTGTTTCATGAGAAGGAGGGAATGAGAAAAGAAGGAGATGACGATGGAGGAAATGGGAAAAGAATGGAGATATTTTGACAGATTTTTTGGAGATTTCGTTTCCTAATATTGATTTTCTTTTATTTTTAGAATCTAGTGACATAGAAGGTGCATTCTAGAGTTTTTAGAACATGTGTAATCTCTAGAATTTGCATTCTTAAAATCAAAGAAGACGCATTCTAAAAGTTTTAGAATATGTACAGACTTTAGAACACGGATTCTGAAAATTTTAGAAGGGAGAATACGCATTCTAAAAAGTTTAGAATATGTACAAATTTTAGAACATGCATTCTAAAACTTTTAGAATATGTTCAAACTTTAGAATTCATATTCTAAAACTTTTAGAACGTAGAATGCGCATTCTAAAATATTTAGAATATGTACAAATTTTAGAATATGCATTCTAGAGTATTTAGAATATGTTGAAACATTAGAATTCATTTTCTAAAAAATTTAGAACGTAGAATGCGGATTCTAAAAAATTTAGAACGATAAGTAAATATTTTTTTTTTCAATTTTTGTTGTTACACTTAAAATTATAAAAATGTTACTATGGTGTTTTCAGTTTTTTATATATTTTTTCACATTTCACTGAATTTTTAAAAAATGATTTGATTATTATAATAATTTAGATAAGGCTAATTTAGTCAAAAAATGAACAAAATACTAAAAGGTGTAGATTACCAAACATAGATATGAAACGTCCTTTAAATCCAATTTTCCCAACTTTTTTATTATAAAGAAAGAAATCTTTCACTTATCCAAAACTATCAGTTTCTGTAAGAAACGTATCTCAGAATTAAATGGTTTCAATTTTTTTCTCTCTTTCCCAAAATGTTACCATTCCTAATTTGATAAAAACAAAAATCTACTGGTGCAAACTACATGCAACAAACGGAAAATAAAACATCCCATAAATAAGAAATAAATAATATTCAGAAAAAAGCTGGACCTATCATTCACCTATTCATCCACTCTATAAATACATACGTGATCCTGAGTTACACCACAAACAACCTCCATCTCTTTTCTCAAGCTCTTTGTTAATTCACTTCTCTCACTACTTTCATTCTTCTTCATCTTTTTAGCGTTTCATCTTCTTCCTAATTAATCAGCAATGGCGACGACGTCGTTTAACATGCAGTCAGTGTTCGCCGCTCCTTCCGGTGGATTGAGCTCTCGCAACATCAGAAACACAAACCAAGTCTTCTTCAAGAGAAATGCTTCTATGGGAGTCAGGTGCATGGCTCAGGTATATACACATCCTACTCATATATATCATCACTTCCCTACGTTACTTGTTGACTTTTAATCCTGACCGTTCGTTGTATTGACTTTTTTCTTTAGGACGATCCTATCAAGGAAATTCCTTCTTCGCCGTTGACCTCAGCCGCTCAACCGCAAATTCCGTTGACTCCTCCTCCGGTTAGCAAGCCTAAGGTATGATCTAATAATCAAAGTCACTGAAGATATCATTATGTCACAAACGGGATCCAAATTCTTATAATGCATGTTGGTGATAAAATAAAAAATAAAAACTATTTATTAAATTTTGTTAATGATATTTTCAGGTGAGTACGAAGTTTAACGACTTGTTAGCGTTTAGCGGTCCAGCGCCAGAGAGAATAAACGGAAGACTAGCGATGGTTGGATTCGTGGCTGCGATTGCGGTGGAGCTGTCGAAGGGAGAGAACGTGTTTGCTCAGATCTCCGACGGAGGCGTCGGGTGGTTTTTGGGAACAACGGCGTTGCTGACGTTGGCATCGATGGTTCCGTTGTTCAAGGGAATAAGAGCGGAGGCAAAGTCCAAGGGGCTGATGACGTCAGACGCGGAGCTTTGGAACGGTCGTTTCGCCATGCTTGGCCTCGTTGCCTTGGCCTTCACTGAGTACGTCACTGGTGGGACCCTCGTCTAAGTTCATGTTTTGTGTTTACAGTTTTGCCCTTTTGATTTCTGTGTTTAAGGGGAATTTAGACAAGGATGTTTTGAATCTTTGATGTAACCAGTAACCTGCAGTCTGCAGAATGATAGTAGAATAGTAGTGATGTTGTTTATTTTATTCTACCCATTGAAAACAAAAAAAAAAACAGAAGCCCAAGAATCATATTCTCTTTACAAACATTTTATATGAATTTTGGTGAGCAAATGTGTCTCTACCTTTTATTTTTCTGATTAAAGGAAATAAACCATCTTCATCGTGAATTTTGTTGACGACGCATGAGTGATGCATGAGACAAGTCCAATATATTTTATAATAAGACAACAAGCCCATGTGGTTAAGGTTTCCTAGGAAATAGATTCGTGTATATGCATAATGCATGTCATGAGCATCAAGCCATCAACCAATGAATGTAATCATAAGGGTTGTGACTTTGTACAAGTCACTTTCTTCTTCTTTTCATATCAATCAAGGAATCTGTTTATAGTTTGATGTTCTTCTAAATAGTAGTTTTCCTCTTGTTTTTTTTTCATTAAAGGGTTTTCTTGAATTGATACTGAAATTTTATGTTTTCTTTGGACCTCTAAAAAGTAAAAATTAAGCTAAAAATACAAATAGTTTTCCTCTCGTTACTTTTCTTGCACTAAACAAATTAAGCTCTACGGAGTTATACTCTACTTTGTTTAGGATTATCTCACATGCATGTTCAAGAAACAAACGATTTACGGGCTTTGTGTGCAAGTTATTTGTGTAATTTATTTGAAATAGTAAGAATTTTCTTATAGATATTTGCAATGCTAAAAAAGTAGAGTTTAAATGCAACTTTTGCATCTCAAAACAAAAAGATTAAAATTCTAAAACACATCAAAATCATAAAATAATATTTTTCCGCTAAAATCATAAAATTGTGTTTTTCAGCCAAAACCGTAAAATCACGTTTTTTGCCAAACCATAAAATCATGATTTTCCGTAAAATCGTAAAGTCATGTTTTTCCGGCAAAACCGTTTTCCGCCATAACCATAAAATTGCAGTTTATGCCAAATTGCGGTTTATGCCATAAACCGTGATTTAAATTTTTTTGGCCGAAAAACGTGATTTTACGGTTTTGGCGGAAAACCGTATTTTTTTACCAAATCCGTAAAATCGTGTTTCCCACAAAAACTGTAAAATTGTGGTTTCTGCCATTTTTCGTCAAAGCCGCAAAATAACGTTTTTTCTGTTAAACCATAAAAACTGTGTTTTTCGGTAAAACTGTAAAATCATAAGTTTTTTGCCAAAATTGTTAAAACCGTAAAACAGCATTGTTTGCCAAAATCGGTTTTCACCAAATAGTAAAATCGCGTTTTTCCATCAATACTGTAAATTCCGAATTTTCATTTGATAGATTTTGTACATAGATTTTTTAACAAATTCACAAACGAACAACATTGCATCCAAATGAAATTTCTAAATGCAAAAGCTATTTTAAAAACAAAAAAATATATATAAATGTTGCATGAAAATACATCTAGATGCTGCATTTGGTTATTGCATCTAAATGCATCCAAATGCACAAACGAACAGGGCCTAAGTAGACAACTTGATATTACACAGCTTCTGAAATATCTTTTAGTAAAACTTGTGCATCCTCCTCTTTTAATGTATTTGCTGTTTCTTGGTTGTCTTTGTGTTGGGGTGTCAATTCGAATACTTTGTCCCTGACTTCCGTTGCCTAAAACCCAAAACCAAAAGCAAATTCAAATTCAAAATTCAAACGAAAAGAAGAAACAAAGAAGAGGAGTTAGTTATATATACCTCTTGTTCCCAATTGGTGTAGCAAGTGACAAGAGCAAAAACAAAGAGTTGGAGAGTGAAGGCTATCACTATACCGATCCAAAGTCCTTTTCCTCTCAGTTTCACGACGAAACACGAGATCGAACCCAATGGGATTCCCACCAGGTAATATGATCCTATGCTTGCATAACCTCCTATGTTGCCACCCTGCTCCTCTCGCAACCCCTGAGAAAGAAAGTTCAAAACATATGAAATAATTATAGTCAAACCTATTTTTCTTGGGTCTCAAGTTATTATTACTTGAGTCAGAAGGGAGAACAATAAGAGTATCACTAATTATATATAACTAACTCCTTCTCGATGTTAAAAAAAAAAAAAAAAACTAACTCCTTCTCTTCTTTGTTTCTTCTTTTCGTTTGAGTTTTGAATTTGTTTTTGGTTTTGGGTTTCAGGCAACGAAAGTCAGGGACAGAGTATTCGAATTGACACCCCAACATAAAGACAACCAAGAAACAGAAAATATATTAAAAGAGGAAGATGGCCAAGTTTTACTAAAAAATATTTCAGAAGCTGTGTAATTAATGAAAATGGATAAGCAGACAATGGGTGTGATTTGCGTTGCATAGTCACCAACTTCTCTCTCGTTGCTGAATATATAACCCCAACTTATTCGGTAACTGTAAAGACTAAAGAGTGATGCTTGCTATGGTTGCATCAACAACGTACCACACAAGAAAATTGCAGATCTAGCCGCCGTTCGAGCTGCATATGTTTTTATTTACCATTTCAACGCGTGTAAAAACACTGTACGTAGGAGAATTGGGCACGGAGTCATGAGAAAGAAAAGAATCAAAGTAGTGATCATGGGTCTGCCATAACGAAGTTCACTAAGTTCCAACACGAAAACTAGGTGAATGCGACCTCTCTCGATCGAAACTACCAAGAACAAAAACTTGCAAGTGATTGTGAGCCATTTGCTATTTAATAATAAAAACTTTTCTTACGACAATCTTTTTTACGTTTTTTAACCAAACGGTCCAAAGTCCAAACCCACTTGGCGTTGGCTGATCAGAAAATGACAAGGAGTATGTGTGTTTGTGTGTGTGTGATGAAGAAAACCACGTCATCAGTTTACTCACTTTTCAACTAGACGTGGCTCCTTACAGATCCTCACCTCACTTTCCTCTCTTATTTTCAATTTTTCTTGTCTACGTGTTCTTATATTTAGCGTTCAAACGCAAGATCGTATTTGTTACTTTTAACATTTTTAACGGTTTTTGGGAAATAATTCGATTTGGTTAAATAACATTAGTCTATATGGTTCTTTCACTATGCCGAAAATGAATCTGAAGTAAGCATTAAGCTAATTGGCATGCATATCTATTTGTGTTACGATAAGTGTTGGAAATTTTGTTATTATTAGGAAATAAATCTTTCACTTATCCAAAAACTATCAATTTGTGTAAGAAACGTATCTCAGAATTAAATTGTTTCATTTTTTCCCCTCTTTCCCAAAAATGTTTCCATTCCTAATTTAATAAAAACAAAAAGTGGTGCAAATTACATGCAACAAACGGAAAATAAAACATCGTATAAATAATAAATAAATAATACTTTACCAAAAAAAAAAAAAATATTCAGAAAAAGCTGGACCTATCATTCACCCATTCATCCACTCTATAAATACATACGTGATCCTGAGTTATACCACAAACCATCTCCATCTCCTTTATCAATCTCTTTGCTTATTCACTTCTCTCACTACTTTCATTCTTCATCTTTAGCTTTTCAAAACCTTAATCAGCGATGGCATCGACGTCCATTAACATGCAGTCAGTGTTCGCCGCTCCTTCCGGTGGATTGAGCTCTCGCAACATCAGAAACACAAACCAAGTCTTCTTCAAGAGAAATGCTTCTATGGGAGTCAGGTGCATGGCTCAGGTATATACACATCATAAATTCATAATCATGGTTACTTGTTGACTTTTAATCCTGACCGTTCGTTGTATTACTCTTTTCTTTAGGACGATCCTATCAAGGAAAATCCTTCTTCGCCGTTGACCTCAGCCGCTCAGCCGCAAATTCCGTTGACTCCTCCTCCAGTTAGCAAGCCTAAGGTATGATCTAATAATCAAAGTCACTGATGATGTCATTACAAATTCGTATATGCACGGTGTTTGAGAAATCAAAATATGGATTAATGATTTTTCAGGTGAGTACGAAGTTTAACAATTTGTTAGCGTTTAGCGGTCCAGCGCCAGAGAGGATAAACGGAAGACTAGCGATGGTTGGATTCGTGGCGGCGATTGCGGTGGAGCTTTCCAAGGGAGAGAACGTGTTTGCTCAGATCTCCGACGGCGGCGTCGGGTGGTTTTTGGGAACAACGGCGTTGCTGACGTTGGCATCGATGGTTCCGTTGTTCAAGGGAATAAGAGCGGAGGCAAAGTCCAAGGGGTTGATGACGTCAGACGCCGAGCTTTGGAACGGTCGATTCGCCATGCTTGGCCTCGTTGCCTTGGCCTTCACTGAGTACGTCACCGGTGGGACCCTCGTCTAAGTCCTTTTTGTGTGTTTAAAGTTTTGCCCTTTAGATTTCACTGTTTATGGAGAATTTAGACAAGGATGATTTGAATCTTTGATGTAATTAATCTGCAGACAGATAGTAGTGATGTGGTTTATTCATTCTACCCATTGAAAAAAAAAAAAAAAAAGAAGCGCAATAATAATATTCATTACAAACATTTTATTTGAATTTTGGTTAGTAAATGCGTCTCTACCTTTTATTTCTCTAATTAAAGGAAAAAACCATCTTCATCGTGAATTTTGTTGACGCATTCATGAGACATGTCCAATATATTTCATATTAAGACAACAAGCCCATGTGGTTAAGATTTCCTAGGAAGTAGATACGTATATATGCATGTTATGACTTATGAGCATGAGCATCAATGAATGTAATCTTAAGGGTTGTCACTTTGTACAAGTCACTTTCTTCTTCTTTTCATATCAATCAAAGAATCTGTTTATAGTTTGATGTTCTTCTAAATTATTTTCCTCTTGTTTTTTTTTTTGTTAAAGATTTTCTTGAATTGATATTGAAATTTTTTGTTTTCTTTGGGCCTCTAAAAAGTACAAATCAGACTAAAAAATACAAATAGTTTTCCTGTCGTTACTTTTCTTGCACTAAACAAATTAAGCTCTAGTGAGTTATAATCTACTTTGTTTAGGATTATCTCACATGATCAAGAAACAAACGATTTACGGGCTTTCTGTGCTTTATTTGAAAGAAAAAAAAATAGAGGTTTATTCGTGTACTTTATTTGAAAAAAAAAAATAGTAAGAAGTTCTTACAATTTTTTAATGCAAAAATTATAAACCGAAAAAAAAAAGAATTCTTGAAATAAAGAAAATTTGAAAGTTTGGATGTAATTTTTGCATTAAAAAATTATAAGAACTTCTTACTATTTTTTTTTTCAAATAAAGTACACGAATAAACCTCTATTTTTTTTTTCTTTCAAGAATTCATCTTTCCAGGAAGTAGAAAACTTGTAATTGTTACACAGCTTCTGAAATACAATTAGTAAAACTTCTGCATCTTCCTCTTTTATTATATTTTCTGTTTCTTGGTTGTCTTTATGTTGCGGTGTCAATTCGAATACTCTGTCCCTGACTATCGTTGCCTGAAACCCAAAACCGAAAGCAAATTCAAAACTCAAACGAAAAGAAGAATCAAAGAAGAGAAGGAGTTAGTTATATATATATACCTCTTGTTCCTAATTGGTGAACAAAGTGACAAGAGCAAAAACAAAGAGTTGGAGAGTGGAGGCTATCACTATACCGATCCAAAGTCCTTTTCCTCTCAGTGTCACTACAAAACACAAGATAATATGATCCTATGCTTGCATAGTAACCTCCTATATGTTGCCACCCTGCTCGTCTCGCAACCCCTGAGAAAAGAATTTTCATAATATATGAAAGAATTACATAGTACTCAAACCTATATTTCTTGGGTCTCAAGTTATTACAAAGGTTAAAGGAGAATGGTATTATTACTTGAGTCAGAAGGAAGAACAATAGGATTATCACTAATTCAACACTAAATTGACTTGGCTCGCAAGCCTATGCCTAAATGGAAAATCTAAGGTGAAATCCTAAACGAGAGACAAAGCAACAATCATCTCTCTAGTTTCTGATTACCTGAGAGGACAGCAAGAAAGCTGTTAATGAAAATGGATAAGCAGACAATATGGGTGTGATTTGCGTTGCATTGTCAGCAACTTCTCTCTCGTTGCTGAATATATAACCCAACCTTCTTTGGTAACTGTAAAGAGCTTGCTATGGTTGCATCAACACCACCCAAGAAAATCGCAGAACTAACCGCGGCTCAAGCTGCATGTTTTTATTTACCATTTCAATGCGTGTAAAAACACTGTACGTACGTAGGAGAATTGGGCACGGAGTCATGAGACAGAAAAGAATCAAAGTAGTGATCATGGGTCTGCCATAACGAAGTTCACTAAGTTCCAACACGAAACAAGGTGAATACGACCTCTCTCGATCGAAACTACCAAGAACAAAATTTTGCAAGTGATTGTGAGCCATTTGCTTTTTAATAATAAAAACTTTTCTTACGACAGTCTTTTTTACGTTTTTTTAACCAAATGGTCGAATCCAACTTGGCGTTGGCTAATCAGAAAATGACAAGGAGTACGTGTGTTTGTGTGTGTGCGATGAAGAAAACCACGTCATCAGTTTACTTACTTTTCAACTAAACGTGGCTCCTTACAGATCCTCACCTCACTTTCCTCTTGTCTTTTCAAATTTTCTTGACGTGTTCTTGTATTTAGCATTCAAATGCAAACTCGTATTTATTAATTTTCACATTTTTAACGATCTTTGGGAAATAATTCGATTTGATTTAATAATTTTAATCTATATGGTTCTTTCACTTTTCACATTTCCCCTACTCGATTAATCTATATGGTTCTGCCGAAAATGAATATGAAGTAAGCATTAAGCTAATTGGCATATTATTGAATTGTGTTACAATAAGTGTTGGAAACTTTTTCATTATTAGGAAAGATATCTTTCATTATTAGAAATGTATCTCAGAATTAAATGGTTTCATTTTTTTCCTCTTTCCCAAAATGTTTCCATTCCTAATTTGATAAAAACAAAAATCTATTGGTGAAATTACATGCAACAAAAAGCAAATAAACATCCCATAATAAATAAATAATAATTAGAAAAAAGCTGGACCTATCATTCACCTATATTATCAACTCTATAAATACATGCGTGATCCTGAGTAACAACACAAACCAACTCCATCTCTTTTCTCAAGCTCTTTGTTAATTTCACTTCTCTCACTACTTTCATTCTTCATCTTTAGCTTTTTAAAACCTTAACCAGCGATGGCAACGACGACGTTTAACATGCAGTCAGTGTTCGCCGCTCCTTCCGGTGGATTGAGCTCTCGCAACATCAAAAACACAAACCAAGTCTTCTTCAAGAGAAATGCTTCCATGGGAGTCAGATGCATGGCTCAGGTATATACACATCATAATCATATACTCATGTTGACTTTACTTGTTGACTTCCGGAGTATATATCATCAATACCCAACGTTACTTGTTGACTTTTAATACTGACCGTTCGTTGTATTAACTCTTTTCTTTAGGACGATCCTATCAAGGAAAATCCTTCTTCGCCGTTGACCTCAGCCGCTCAGCCGCAAATTCCGTTGACTCCTCCTCCAGTTAGCAAGCCTAAGGTATGATCTAATAATCAAAGTCACTGATGATGTCATTACAAATTCGTATATGCACGGTGTTTGAGAAATCAAAATATGGATTAATGATTTTTCAGGTGAGTACGAAGTTTAACGATTTGTTAGCGTTTAGCGGTCCAGCGCCAGAGAGGATAAACGGAAGACTAGCGATGGTTGGATTCGTGGCTGCGATTGCGGTGGAGCTTTCCAAGGGAGAGAACGTGTTTGCTCAGATCTCCGACGGCGGCGTCGGGTGGTTTTTGGGAACAACGGCGTTGCTAACGTTGGCATCGATGGTTCCGTTGTTCAAGGGAATAAGAGCGGAGGCAAAGTCCAAGGGGTTGATGACGTCAGACGCCGAGCTTTGGAATGGTCGATTCGCCATGCTTGGTCTCGTTGCCTTGGCCTTCACTGAGTACGTCACTGGTGGGACCCTCGTCTGAGTCCTTTTGTGCGTTTACAGTTTTGCCCTTTAGATTTCTCTGTTTAAGGGGAATTTGGACAAGGATGATTTTAATCTTGATGTAACCAGTAATCTGCAGAATGATAGTAGTGATGTTATTCATTCATTCTACTCGTTAAAAAAAAAAAAAAAAACACAAAAATTAGAAGCGCAATAATAATATTCATGACAAACATTTTATTTGAATTTTTGTTAGTAAATGTGTCTTTAACTTTTACTTCTCTAATTAAAGGAAATAAACCATCTTTTCGCACACATGAGACATCAGACACGTCCAATATATTTTCTATTAAACAATTACTTTCTCTGTCCCATCCAGATATATTCAGAAAATTACAGATACACTAGGAGAGTACCCGCACAATGCGCGGATTTAATTTTACAAAAGTGTAATTCCTAAATTCATATCAAATCAAAACTTAGTAATAATTTGTTTAAATGTTATAGTATGATGATTTAAGTAGTAAACAAAGCAAATTTAAAATGGTAACAAATTTATGAACTCCATATATAAATAATCTTACAAAGAAAATGTTTCAACTACAACCACAACAAAATACAACATCTTTTATAAATCTACAACTAAGAAAACTTAAGAAAAAAAAAAATCATCCTTTGTGTCAGGATTCTCAAATTGTTTATAAATACTCTTCAACGTGTTTTCCATCATATGCCCCTTCATCAACCCCTTCATCTTCATCTCTAAACGAGCAGCAGACTGCTTTGTTGCTCCATTGTACTTCTGATAGCTGGTGTTTGACTGCCTTTTCCGGACCATCTCCATAACAAAGACCCAAGCATTGAAAGCAAGATTCCCCATAACTAACCATTCTTCTAGATATGTCATCTATAGACAGCAAAAAAAAAACATTAGATCAAGAGTTTCTTAAAGAGTACAGGAGCCAAGGCGGTTTATCTTACCTGCTTATTGAGAATGGAGAACAGTTTCAAGTTGTGCTTCAGGTTCTGCATTTCGATTCTTTTGGCTCTGACAGAAGTATACAGCTTAGAGATGTTTATCCGTGCATTTGGTAGACACAGATATGTCTCGGCCTGCTATCTACAAGTGTTTTACAATAGTTCTCATCAGCAAAAGTCATATACAAGAAACATTTCAAATCAAGAACTCAGCCAAGTATAGTTGGTTTCTTGAAATGCAGCTTACATGCATAAAGAAACTAACTTTTTCAATGGCTTTGAGCAATATACAAAGCTGCAGGTAAAGGTTTGTTTCTATTCTTGATAAAATTGATAGAAATACTTATGTTTTAGATCTCACCACATTTGAAGCTGTATTGAGGTCTTCATTCTCTTTACAAAGTAGTCAGATACTTACTAAACTAAATCTTAGCAAGAAAAAGTTTCTCTACTGCATAACTTACCTTCGCCAAATCGAGATTTCTCATGGAGTGCATAGGGTTCGTAATCAAATCCAGGACTTACCATCGACACTCTAACAGCATCCTGCACTCGTAAACAGTGACGTGAGACATCAAACAGTCACAGGAAACAATCTTTTGTTATACAAAAAAGAGCAATTTGAAATTGAGTTACTTAAACACACCGTTTTCTGTAGCTGAGGAGCCTTTACTTGCGTTGCAGATCTTTTTTTACTCGTGAATGGTATAGACTCTGCAATCTAAGAAACAACACAAATCATGTATACGATCAGATCAGATCAGATCAAACAACACCTAATGATGAATCTGGTGATTACCATTGCAGATCGAAGCAAATGCGTGTAGGCGTTGAGGCACTCGTATAAGCGTGAATACACGCTCTTTCCATGAGCGTCAGTTCCTGGAAATGTAAATTTCATTACTAAATTACTCGAAAAGCTTCAGTTCAGAGTTGAATCAATGGAGAAATGGGATCTGGATTCACCAATGAGAATATTACCGTGACAAAGAGAAGAATGTTAGCTCCTCCAACACCCGAACCTGGAATCATCTCCACTCTCAATCCAAGAGAGCTCATTTCCACTCCGAACACTGGAAAACCAAAATTGAATCCTTTTTAGCTTTATTTCGTTACTATCTACTCCAAAATCCAAAATTTCAACAGCCCAAATTCGTAAAATCAAAGCGACACAATGGATACTTGTAGAAGTTTTGCTTTTCAATTTTAAACTCAATCATCGGAAGAATATTTAAAGTTAGGAAACTGCTTACGAAAGGAAAGATTCACTTGATTCAGATGTTCTCAACAGAAAACGAGTTGTCTGCAACCTCCTCACGAGCGCCATTATCAATCAGTGTGTCCACCCACAGGGATGCGGACAGTCCCGGCAGAAGAAAGGAATGGACGATGTGGATCTCGGCGGAGAGGTGGGGAGGAAGGAATTAGGTGGGAGTAAAATTATATTAAACCTAAAACGGAAACGACGTCGTTTAGCTGCAATGTGAAAGGGAAGACACTAAACGACATCGTTTTGGTGTTTCACGAAAAAAAAAAATGTCACAACGCAAAACGACGTCGTTTTGGTATTAGGCTAAAAAAAAAAAAAAAAAAAAGAGAATGCCACGTGTCGAAGGTTGGAAAGTGTCCAAGCCTTATTAGTTATATAGATTATGCCAAAACAGCTTATAATATGGAACAAAGAGAGTGGTAAACTTTACAGTTTTTTAGAAATTTTGTATGCATTTTACCTAGATAAACAAGACATAAGGTCAAAAAAATAGTTAAACTTCACGAGTGGATTTCACAAATAAGTATGCTTGGTAAGAACTTAATATGCTAATCAAACAAGAAAACTGTTTCCATTTGTATATAACAAATAAGTATGTCACACTAATACACAAGCAACTAAATAAACTTATATAACAAATTGTTCAATAAAATCTTAAAATTTCATTATACAGTTTTTAAAAGCGTGTTTTATAAGAGACATCATAGAGTAGACTTCTTGAATAAACTTTACAGGTAGACTTCACGATAAAGTTTATTTGGTGATGATGTGCTAATCAAACAAGAAAACCGTTTTCACTTTGTATATAACAAATAAACATATAAAACCCACACACAAGCAACTAAACTAACTAATACAACTAACTGTTAAAACAAATCTTAAAAAATAATTATACATTTTGCCATTTTCCAAACATGCCTTTTAAAAATATATATATATATATATATATATATATATATATATTAAATAGTAGATTTTACAAAGTAGACTTATCGCTGAAGTCTAATAATAGGTTTGTTATGCAATTGACTAGACTTTTTTGCGAAGTCTACACCTCAAGTTTACTGAAAAAAAAATAATGTTAGTTTTGCAGTTGACCAAACTCTGACTTTTTCGAATATACTTCATTAACGTGAATAGACTTCAAACGGAAGTCTAGCTTTTTTATGAAGTTTACTGGTGAAGTCTACGACAAAAATTAGACTTCATATGAGTTAATTTTGCAATCAACCAAATTTTTAACTTTGGTAAGTAGACTTCACTGCGATAAACGTTGACCAATATATTTCAACCAGAAGTCTACATCACAATAAAGTCTACTCATGATTAGACTACTTTGTAAGCTCTAATACATCCTAAATAGACTTCAAGAGTAGACTTCACAAAAAGTGAAGAGTCATCAATTGCAAAACTATATTTTTTTTAAGCAGGCTACATGGGTAGACTTTTCTTAAAAAGGTTATACTCAGCCAAATACAAAACTAACAAGTTTCGAATTAAACTTTATAAAAAAATTTATGCCGTATTTTTTTGTTTTCAAAGGAATATGGCGCAGACTTCATTGTGATATCTACTCTCCAAAACTTTGTTTGATCAATTGAAAAACTAACATGTTAGTTGACCAGTAACTTTGTATTGAAGTCTATTTACTAGACTTCATTATGAAGTCTACTTCGCGACAAATATGTGAAATTACGTCGACGGCCCAGAACTTAAGTTACAATGTTCGCGACTTAATTTTTACTTTGTTGTGATCTTAAGTTATGTCGACGGCCCATAACTTCGATTTGGAGCTTCAACAAACTTCCTTAACCGTTAGAAATAATGATATCACACACCAAAAATGGCAAGATCTAAGAACATAATCTTTGAAAAGATGAAAACCTAAGTTTTGTAGTGAAAATGGAGAAGAAATTGAAGATTTTAAGTTTATGAGATGATAAAATGAATTCGTAGATATGTTTGAAGAGTAAATCATGCATTTAAAGTTTGATTTAGGTTGAGAATGGTTGTTGGATAAATTGATGGTGATGGCATTTTCGTGAATAAGTGAAGAATATGAGGTTTTTGGACATTCTATTTTTGAATTAGACTTCAGACATAGATTTTAAGGAAACAAGTAATTATATTTTCGTTATGATGTAAATACTGTATAGTGAGGATGGAGAAGGAAGAAAAAAAAAGAATTTTGCAATGGGGGTTACTTTTGCATTTGACCCCAAATTTTGGGTTAATTATAAAAACAGCCCATATAAAACTCCTAATTTTCATAATTAATATCACTATCCGAACATATAATTGTAGATCATTTGTAGAATAATAAATAATTAATTAAATATATAAATGAATTTAGTTTAAAAAAAAATAATAAATGAGATTTTAGCTTTTGTATAATTTAAATGTATAACTTAGATTTAGAAATCAATAAGTTCTAATTAAAATACATTTCCATAAATTAGCATTGATTATTTCAATATTTTTCTTCCAGGTTGTAGCCATGTATGAACATAAATGAGTAAGAAATTAATTAAAATACATTTCTTTAAATGGGCATTGACTATTTCAACATTTTGCTTCCACTTTGTAGCCATCTTTGAACATAAATGAGCAAGAAATTAATTAAAATACATTTCAATAAATGAGCATTGATTATTTCAACATTTTACTTCCATATTGTAGCCATGTATGAACATAAAAGAGCAAGAAATTAATATGTGCCAAATCATCTCGTGTGTCAAACCTTCTACTATAAAATATCTGTAAATCTCTCTCATTTGCCCATTATCAATCAATAAGAAAAAAACATCATCTACAAAAACTTCAAAATGAATAACAAAACAATCTTCTTTCTTCTTCTATCTCTGGTCCTCCTCCCTCTCTACGCATTTGGTGCAGCACGTACTGGCGGCTGGAGCCCCATCAAAGACATCAAGACCCTCATATCATAGAAATCGGTGAATTTGCGGTCTCTGAATACGTCAAGAAGACGAAATCAGACCTCAATTTTGTGACAGTTGTTAGCGGCGAGTCTCAAGTAGTCGCTGGCATGAATTACAAGCTTGTGATAACTGCAAATCATACCGGCGAGAGCAACAACTATGAGGCGATTGTCTGGGAAAAGCCATGGTTGAAATCAATGAATCTCACTTCGTTCAAGCCACTTGAAAAGTAAACTATATTGTTAAAAAAGAAATAAATAAAAATAAACAAAAATGAATTATTGTTAATCTCTATATTATACAGTATGTATGGTTTTAGAATTTCATATCGGAGGAAATCTTTATGCAAATTAATAAATGGTATTTGGTGTTTTGATTGAATAAGTGTTGACAAAAAGTTTTGTGTGTGGTTCGGAACAGAGCTCGAAGTCTTTTCCTTCAAAACTCCAGTTATACTACTCTTTTCTCTAGCGATGGTGAAAATTAGAAGATGTTTATGCTTGCTTAACTCATTAGTCTCTTATCCTTTTTCAGTTATCTTTCTAATTTTTTACTTTTTTCTCTTTTGTTTTTTGATGGTTTTTTTTAAAAAGTGTTGACAAATCCGCTAATTATACCATATACTACTATATATAGATTATGGGTCACGAAACTGTTGAGAGATATTTACAATTTAATTAATAAATTAATGATTACTAAAATTACATGGAGACACGAGAGATTATGTGAGGGGAAATGTGAACCATGTGTCATTTATCTTTTGTTCATAGCTCATTACATGTGACCAATGTTTTATTTAATTGCATTATTCACATTTTTTTTCGTATAACGTTTCTAATCCATTGAGATATTTTTTTATGTGAATTGTGAAACAATGAAAAATCATAAAAAATAACATTGAACATAAAAATAACAAATAATTTTATCTAAGTTATTTTTTTTGGAATGGGAAGAATATGTGATACTTGAAACAAAATTAGAAGAAAGAACACTCAACATTAGGAAAAAAAAAGAAATTAAAATTATTATTCAGCAATTTAGTCCTTACGGAAAAATAAAAAAAAAGTTTATGTGTGATAAAGAATAAAAATATCGTTCCCAATATGACAACAGATGAATCAATGAGCAATTTGTATTTCAGCATGTTCTTCAATTAAGTTTTGTATACCAAGTTTAAAACTTTATTTTTTTTAGTTTGACTATAATTAATTTCACCAAGGTTTAAAATTCTTCAATTATACTACTGGTTAACAATATCATATAGTGATTTCTAATTTTGAAAATTTAAAAGTAATATTTTTAGCTATCGGTTCTTATCCGTTATTACCTGATTTTAAAAGTATATTTTCAACACTATTTTCCTATACATGAACTATCCAGTCTATATATAGTCCTATTATTTATATGTATTATTCTCACATATTTTTACGTATAAGCAAACGAACAAAATTCTATACACAAATTTGTAAAGAAATTTCATGAATACTTAGTTATTAATTATTTTACTTTAGATCTTTGAACACTAAATTTTTTCTTTTACTAGAAAACTGTTATTTAAAACTAAAAATGTGAAGAGTTAACTAAAATACAGAAAATGAAAATCATTATAAGTTTTAATTTTCTAAATGCCACATGACATCTCCAAAATCATGATGAATTGCTGATGTGTCAGCATAAGGAGAGAGTTATTTGACTATTATAGTATAGACAAGCCCATGTGGTTAATGTTTGCTAGGATGTAGATTCATATATAATTATATATGCATGTTATGAGCATTAATGACTTTAATCTTAAGGGTTGTCACTTTCTTCTTCTTTAATTTCATATCAATCAAATAATCTGTTATAGCTAGTTTGATGTTCTTCTAAATAGTTGTTCTCTTGTTACTTTTCTTTTGCACTAAACAAATTAAGCTCCAGTGAGTTATAATATACTTTCTTTAGGATTATCTCACTAGATCAAGAACCAAACGATTAAGGGGTTTTATGTGCTTTATTTGAAAAAAGAATAAATTTGAGAGAGAGAGAGAGAGAGTTATTTGTATTTTGCAACAAAAACAAAATTAGTAAAAAGTTTCTTACAGCTTTTTTATTGCAATACTTACATCCAAACTTTCAAATTTTCTTTATTTCAAGTATCCTATTTCCAGGACTCTCAATCATTTAAGTAGAAATTTTTTAATTATTACACAGCTTCTGAAATATCTTTTAGTAAAACTTGTGCATCTTCCTCTTTAAATATATTTTCTGTTTCTTGGTTATCTTTATGTTGGGGTGTCATTTCGAATACTCTGTCCCTGACTTTGGTTGCCTGAAACACAAAACCAATAGCAAATTCAAAACTCATACGAAGAGAAAAATCAAAGAAGAGGTGGAGTTACATACCTCTTGTTCCCAATTGGTGAAGAAAGTGACAAGAGCAAAAACAAGGAGTTGGAGAGTGGAGGCTATCACTATACCGATCCAAAGTCCTTTTCCTCTCAGTTTCACTACAAAACACAACATCGAACCCAATGGGATGCCGACCAGATAATATGATCCTATGCTTGCATAACCTCCTATATGTTGCCACCCTGCTCCTCTCGCAACCCCTGAGAAAAGAATTTTCTATAGTCAAACATATTTTCTTGGGTCTCAAGTTATTACAACGGTTAAAGGAAATCAACACAAGTAACAAAGCACAAGTCATCTCTCTAGTGTCTGATTACCTGAGAGCACACCAAGAAAGCTGTTGATGAAAATGGATAAGCAGACGATGGGTGTGATTTGCGTTGCATAGTCAGCAACTTCTCTCTCGCTGCTGAATATGTAACCCCAACTTCTTCGGTAACTGTAAAGAGAGATGGTTGCTATGGTTGCATCAACACCACCCAAGAAAATAGCAGAATTAGCCGCGGCTCGAGCTGCCCTTGGATTTCCAGCTCCTAGCTCGTTTGAGACATATGTGCTATATACAAAAATGTTAAAAACAACACAAAAAGGGTTTTAGAGAAATCGTCCAAGAAATGATTAGGTTCTTGCTAACAATCGGAAAGCAACAAAACCTTGCAGCTGCTCCTATTGCATTCACCAGATCGTAATGAATAGCCGACATTGTGAGGCTGTTCCATGAGTTAAGTTAGCAAGATCAAAACCTATTTCATTGTTTGAATTTGTAAAACAAATATGATCATACTTACCAAATGGATATAACCGATGTTTCGAGCTTTGAGTTTGGTAAGAGTCCAGACAATAGTAGTAGAAACTCAAACGACCACCATTCCAAGCTTTACATACACCAAAACAGAGAAAAGGAATCAGATCAAGAAGGTTTAAATGTTGCAGAGATTGTTTTTCTTGCAAGGATGCAACTTACCAAGTCATCATTGCAGAAGGGATCGCTAGGGCAATGAACTGCTTCATACTCGAGAAGATTTCTTGCCAACCAAGATTCTTCATTTCATGACGCAGAGAAGAGTCTCTCATAAAGATCCAAAGCAAAAACACGTTGAGCCAATACGAAACACCAATGGACAAAGCCGCGCCGACGATTCCAAATCTCAGTTTGTAGACAAGAAGCCAACAAAAAGGAATGTGAAAAGAGAGAGCACCAAGAGAGCTCAAGAAAAGCGGAAGAACCAATGCTTGTGACAGGAAATAGCGAGTCATTGACTGAAGAAGAGAGTATCCGAATAAAGCCGGTATGAGCCAGATTGAGTATCTGCAAGCTAACTGAGAGATTAAAGGATCTTGATGGAAAAGCTCTAAGAGTTTGTCCATATAAACCCACAAGAGTGAGATTGGGAAACAGAAGAAGAGAAGACAAAGCATTGAGCTGTAAGTGTATGCACCGATTAATCGAAACTGTTCTGCTCCAAAAGCTTGACCACAGAGTGTCTCTAACGCACCTGCCAAACCAAAGAGGAGGCTAAAGCCGGTTACGTTGGTGAGGGAAGTGGCGATTGCGACGGCTGAGAGTGAGAGCTCGTCTACATGACCAGCCATGATCATGGAGATGACTTGAAGAAGGTACTGAGAAACCGAAACTGCCACCATTGGAGCTGCCATGGAGCTCACTTTCTCTATCATCTCCGATGACAAATAACACGTCTCTTCCGAAGACATTTCGTTCTTGTTGTCTTCTTCTTCATCTTCTTCCTTCCGCACCAAGGAGAAATCTTTTTCCATCGTTTCGTTAGTTAGCAAAATATTGGTTTGATCAAAAACGTCTTTTAAAAACTTTTCGTAACAAGAAAATCAATTAAAACAATGACTGTTGAGATAGTCTCCATTTTAATAAAGAGAGGACCGGTGAAATGTCGAGAACAGAGTATCAAACTAATATTTAAATTAAGCCAACTAGTTTAGGTTAGAGATGCAAAAATCTTGTCCTATTAAGATCATCTAAGACAAATACAATTATTTCCTTGTGTTTATCATCTCCGATGTACATTTGTTTGCAAAATACTTTATACCCAAATTGCAAAATATGACAAGATTTCTATATTGTTTATTATGAAGAAAGGTCATATATAGTTTCCAGCTTCTTTGTCTATTTAGGAAATATACATTATTTTCGTTTTGATTACACATGAAAAAAAAATAAGTTAAATTTGTCCGACCATTTAAATCTCTAACGTTTATTCACGATGGCGTCAAATTTAGATGTTTTGTTGAATCCATCACTCCCAAAAGGCCAAAACCCAACCATTCAGAGAAAAACTTCACTAGAAAAGTTACCAAAAAAGTGGTTGGAGCCTTAACTGAGATGTTATTACAAAAGATGAAAAGACCAGTAAAACAATCAAAACCAAATTTGAGTGATAACTAAAATATAAATGTACATGCATGATAAATTTGGACAGACCAAAAAAATAAATGATGAAAATCGCCGTTACAATAATTATAAAAAAAAAAAAGACTAAATCAGGTTATGTTTCTTTTGGTTCTTCGATTTGGATCAAACTTGGAACGTAACTCAAGAGAAGAGGCTCCGAAGGAATTGTTTGGATTGCAGATTTTCCAAGAAAATCTACTTGTCTGAGCTTATCCTCTCCAATAATGTAAGTTTTGGAGAAAATATAACTTGCATCTCTAGCACAACACAGTGCTACTCTATTCTCCTCATCCAGCACGAAGCTCATCGAATATGGATGCATATATGTGTCCTTCAAATCCACTTTAAAGAACATTCTCAATGTAATAAGGTCGTTGAGCGGATCAATCTTATTGGTTAACCATACCTCCATCGTTGTTGACCCAAAACGCTTCTGAAATAACACCGCAAGTTTCTCTTCTCTTACCGTAGATAGCTCCACAATGTCATGAAAGTTACACTCAAAGGGCAGATAAAAACGTTGAAACCTCTCTTTTGTAAAATCGAATTGTGATAAAAACCCATCAAAAGTAATCCAATAAGTATTTCCCATCAAAGACACGCCACGGTCTTTAGTTTCAAAGTAGGTCGGATCATGAGGGATGTCATCAAGAACCCTCCAAGAATTTAACTTAAACTCATAGATTTCAAACTCAGCATCAAAACCGCTCGTACGAAGACGAAACCTCAATATTTTGTAGCTTTCGAAACATGATTTGTTGTTTTCGTATCCGAGAGCAAACTTATCTGAATATTCGTCAACAGTTGTGAGTTTAATCGACCTCGTTTGCCCCGTACACGGGTTATAAACCACGGCGATACCCTTGCAATCCATGGTATCCTTGATGCATAGCAATAATCCGTTGCAGTGAAAGATTCGCAACATATCGTCAAGTGGGCCAAGTTCACCCTTAAGCTCCACAGATGGATCAATGTTGTTTTGTATTCCCCGAAGATTGACACTCATTGAATAAACCCTAGAATTCGCCAACATGATAACCCTAGACTCCTTGGGTGCTTTATCAACGTGCTTCTTGATGAATTGATGATCATTGAATAACGCGTTCCATTGTTTGCAAGTATATCGTAATCGTTTTAGAGATGTAGCCGGAACCCTAGAGAGTATCTCCTCTACCAAATCCTCTGGAAGAATGGACATCGTCGTTGTTTTTCTTGTGGTGATGAGAAAGAAGAGCTGCAAATATAAATTAGGGTTTTAAAACTTTTCACGTTTGTCAAATCTTTTATAGAAAAGATAGATTAGAGAAATCTTCAAAGAGAATTTATGTAAAAGTAAATGGGCCTTGAAAGTAACTGAATACGAAATCGGGCCATATGTAAAAGTTTTAAAAACCAAAGAGGAGGCTAAAGGCGGTGACGTTGGTGAGGGAAGTGGCGATTGCGACGGCTGAGAGTGAGAGCTCGTCTACATGACCAGCCATGATCATGGAGATAACTTGAAGAAGGTACTGAGAAACCGAAACTGCCACCATTGGAGCCGCCATGGAGCTCACTTTCTTCATCATCTCCAATGACAAATACCACGTCTCTTCCGAAGACTTTTCATTCTTTTTTTTTGGTTTTAATGTTAAACTTTTCATTCTTGTTATCTTCTTCTTCATCTTCTTCCTTCCGCACCAAGGAGAAATATTTTTCCATCATTTCGTTAGTTAGCAAAATAATGGTTTGCTAAAAAACATCATCAAGAGCTTTCCGTAACAGGAAAATCAATTAAAACAATGACTGTTGAGATGGTCTCCATCTTTAATAAGAGAGGACCGGTGAAATGTCGAGAACAGAGTATCAAACTAATATGTTTTTGAGATGTTTTCTTAATCTTGTCCTATTAAGATCATCGGCGCAGCAGATGGTTATGGTACTTGACAAAATTGTCCGGAACCGTTTGAGCTCTATCAGAATCCAGGGTGACCACAGTTATGATGATAGCCTCATGTATTGGTTTGCCACAAGAGTTTGAGTAGTAGATTTGACTTTCTTTCCAATTTCAAACTTATGTAGCACTTGATGTAACAAAGCTTTTGATTGAATATAATTTTACATTCATTCAAAAAACAAAAATTATTTCCTTTTGTTTATCTAATTTCTATGCAAAAATACTTTACACCCAAATTCCAAAGTGGTTGGAGCCTTGCTGAGATGTTAGTACAAAAGACCGGTAAAACTAATAAATAAAGTAAAATAAATTTGGAAAAAGTTGTATAAATATTTTCGGCACAACGTTACCGGATCAAACCAATATCTAGTACTTGTACTTGTAGTTTATATTTTGAGAGATAAATAAAATAAATGTACATGCATGATAAATTTGGACATAGACCAAAAAAATAAATGATGAAAACCGCCGTTACAATAAAAATATAACAGAGTAAATCAGGTTATTTTTCTTTTGGTTCTTCGATTTGGATCAAACTTGGAACATAAGTAACGAGAAAAGGATCCGAAGGAATTGGTTGGATTGCGGAATTTCCAAGAAAATATACTTGTCTGGATCTACCTTCTCCAATAATGTAAGTTGTGGAGAAAGAATAAGGGCCTTTGTCACAAAACAGTGCTACTTTATTCTCCTCGTCGACCACGAAGCTCATCGAAGATGGATACTTATACGTAGATGTGCCATGCAATTCCAATTTAAACAACATTCTGAACGAAACGTCGTTGAGCTGATCAATCTTATTTGTCAACCATACCTCCACCGTTGATCCACCATACTTCTTAAAAAACACCGCAAGTTTCTCTTCTCTTACCGTAGATAGCTCCACAGTTGTATCTGTAAGACAGTTACACTCAGAAGGCAGATGAAAACGTTGAAACCTCTCTTTTGTAAAATCGAATTGTAATAAGAACAAAAAGCCACGGAACAGTTTGTCGTGCCCATAAGCAATCCAATAAGTATTTCCCATCAAAGACACGCCACGACTTTTAATTTTAAAGTTGGTCTGATCATGAGGGATGTCATCAAGAACCCTCCAAGAGTTTAACTTAAACTCATAGATTTCACTCTTAACAGCAAAACCCCTCTTACGACAACAAAACCTCAATATCTTGTAGCTTTCAAAACATGATTTGTTGTTTTCGTATCCGAGAGCAAACTGTAATGAATATGCGTAAGCAGTTTCCAGTTCAATCAACCTTGTTTGCCCCGTACACGGATTATAAACCCCAGTTCAATCTTCATTATCCTTGGTGCATAGCAATAATCCGTTGCAGTGAAAGATTTCTAAGTTATCGTCAAGTAGGCCAAGTTCACCTTTAATCTCTATAGATGGACCAATGCTGTTTTGCATCCCCGGGAGATCGACACTCATTGAATAAACCCTAGAATTCGCATACATGATAACCCTAAACTCCTTTGGTGCTTTATCAACGTGCTTCTTGATGAACTGATGATCATTGAATAATGTGTTCCATTGTTTGCAAGTAGATCTTAATCGTTTTAGAGATGTAGCCGGAACCCTAGAGAGTATCTCCTCTACCAAATCATATGAAAGAAAGGACATCGTCGTCGTTTTTCTTGTGGTGTTGAAAAAGAAGAGCTGCAAATATAAATTAGGGTTTTTCGACTTTTCTTTTTTGTCAAATCTTTTATAGACAAGACAGATTAGAGAAATCTTCAAAGAGAATTATGTAAATCTTTTATAGACAAGACAGATTAGAGAAATCTTCAAAGAGAATTATGTAAAAGTAACTGGGCCTTGAAAATAACTAAATCCGTAATCGGGCCATTGGGTATCCAATTTAATTAGTACAAGAGTCTGTGTAGCTTCAAAGACTCTTGTTCCGGGTTTTTGTATGTTTTAGTGTAATAGTGTATGTTTTGAATTTGGTGAACCGGGTTTTTAACTCTAAACAGATTCGGTTTATGAAACGGACTGGACCGAACCTGTCCAGTTTTCGAAACATAGCCATGAAGTGTGTGCCTAAAATAACAAAACTGAAGTATGGTGTCAAAGCTATTAACAAACCAGGAAATGAAAACCTCTCATTTTCACTCTCTCTGGCCTCTTGTCTCTGGTCACTAATCATTACATTATATATATATTATATATATATCTTCACCAAAAAAGAATCAGAAACAAGAACTTACCACTAACCTAATAAGCATTCAATGAAAGTATCATCATGATTTCGTATCTTGAAACATTTCAATTCTACGATATTTACTCACCGGTTTTAATAGTAGCTTCCCCTTGCAACTCTTGAAGAATCAAGATTAAATTTTACATACACAAGAAAATTAATTAAAAGAAAAGGAATACTCGAACTCTTGTTAGAAGAAGCAAATGCGAATGCCATTTCCTACAACTCATACCTTTTTGAAACAAAAACAAAACAAAAAACACGAAAATCCCTAAAAAAAAAAAAATATATATATATATATATATATATATATATATATAACTTGTAGAACACAAAAGCCCCGAAGAGTACATGTACCATCTTCCTCTTATTCTAGGGCTGGAACCAGACTTGGGACATATTCATAGCAATGGTTATAAATATGACTCTCGTTCCATTTATGTCGTCCTGGCACAACATGTTCTTTGATCTCACAGGCACACATTTCGTAAACGGCGAAGTTAACGTATTTCCTCCTGCCATCTGATTGCCCGCACCATACCATGATACTATTGGTCTTGTGGTCGATGAAGTATGTCGGAAAGTTGTAGTATTCTGTATATAATATCGGGAGGTCAGGACGAGTCACATTAAGATACTTGCTCCACGAAACAACCGCATCAGTCACCTTGTTTGTAACCCACACCTCAATCGTTACATCTCTTTGATAATGTAATAAAGAAAGCCTATCTCTTTCGAAACCTGACAGGACCGCGTTATCAAAGGGAACACCACAGCCTATGTCTTTGAATGTCTCTCTGGAGAAATCAAAACTTACGATTGTTTTGGAGTTATCCTTCTTCCTATTAGCAATCCAGTACATGTTTCCATTCATAGAAAAAGTACTAGACAATGTATACCAAAGCAATAAAGAAGAATCAAGAGTAGCATCAATACTCCTCCAGAGTCTAGACTTAAACTCATATATCTCAATATCGGATCTGTCATGAAAACCTAACCTCAAAATCTTGTAGTTGTCACGGGATACATTGTCGTATCCAAAACCGAAACAATCAAACTTTTGGTAGGAAGTCGAGGGTTTGATCCATTTGACTTGGTTCAAAAACGGATTCCAAACTGCAAGCTTGTTATTAATTTTGAATACACGAGTCCTTGCCATACACTTGCATAGAAATAGTCCGTCGCAGTGGATGATTGTACAAATATTAGATGGACCTTGAAGACATGAGAGAGCTTGCGTCTCAGGATTGAAGAGATGAAACAAATTATTAGTACGATCAACTTGTAGGAATCGTTTCTGTGAGAGATCCAAGAGTTTGTAGATGGATCTCTTGTCGTTTAAAAGAGCGTACCATTCTTTGCATATCCATTTGTATCGTACAAAAGATCCGATTGGAATCCTGCAAAGTATCTCTTCTACTAACTCAATAGGCAGCGACGACGACGAACGCTTTGACAAAGCCATGGAAACAATTTAAGAAAACTAGGTCACCAGTCACCACCAAGAGAGAGAAAAAAAAAAAAAAAAAAAACCTTTTTGTACGAGCTAATTAAACTGGTTTCTTTAGAAAAAGTCAATATTATTATATAGATACTAGGTGGGAACCTGCGCAATGCGCGGGTCGGTTGTTGTTAATAACATATTATTAGTAGTATGTTTTGATATCTATATGCATCGTAAACAAGTGTTAGGAAATAACAACTACGCATATGTGTTATGTACAAATTTCTAGACATTTAGAATTTCATATTTCATTAATCTTATAGGTTTTATGATCTCTACTATATATCTATGGTATTTTGATTTTCTAAGACATTTTATAAATATGAATAAGTGATAACTCTTTTGTTTGGGCATATATGTTTATTAAGACTCACGTCTAGTATACATTAACACACACACAAAAGGTTACAAACCGTCTAGTTAAGAATGAAAGAAGATGTAGAGTACTGGTAATGTTGTGTTTGTTTTCATGAACGAAGTATTCAGACGATACGGTATGACTTGTTTTTCACATTGGAATGCAATTTTAAAAGTCTTGCGCCCGGAATTCTAAATTTTGCACCCAAAATAATGCACGTAAACAAAAATCATGTTGAAGTTCCCTTTGTGAGAATCTGGTTTAGAAATGCGTAAAAGAGAACTTGTTATGTGAAATCAGTATGAATATTCCATCCACAGATGTCTGATGGGAAAAAATACAAGTGATCTCTTTAACGATCTCAACAAATGTGTCTGTTTTAAAAATGGGTATGACAATGCAGTTGGAGGAGAAACATTTATAGTGCCACCCTTGTTCTTCCAATTCTTTCCTCACTTGGCTTAGTCGCAAATTCCACTCCACGGTTTCCAACTCAAGGCCTTCTCTATTCTGAGCGATTAGTTTTCAAGCCTCAGAAAATATGATATATCAATTACTTATTACAGACAATCATGGCAAAAAAAATGACTACCATAAAAACTCAAATAATTCTCATTGTATAAAATTTTCATGATTTGTCTCAATTTCATATGAAACTCGAAAATAAGAAAGAATTAGCAACTGGTTGTCAATATATTTTCGAGTAAAATCATTATACTCTGACCTATTGATAAAAAAAGATATTAGTATTAAAGAACAAACCTTTAGATGGAGATAGTCTTGAATCATTCCTTTTCTTGGATAAGATTCCTATCATACAAACCCAAAATGGTAAGAAATACCGTAAAAGTCACAAAAAACAAATGACAAACAGGAATTTGGTTGTGCTTAAACTGAAGTGATGAGACATGCCTTCGTCGTCATTGGCTCTTAGTTACAAACACCAACCTATCATTTTTGTGTAACGTAGTCATGCTCTTAGACATGCTCTTCGTCGTCATTGATCATTTTTTTCCAACGTAGTAAACCAGAAACTTTGTTGCCCATTCTCTTCAATGACAATCAAACACCAGTAACACAAACCTGTCAGAAATAACATCATTTTTTTTTCAGAGCCGTCAAGCAGGAACTTGGAAACCATTCTGTAAAATCAAAGAGGGTGAAAAAAGATTTTTTAAGAAATAATTATAAAGGTCAAGAGATGGAGAGAGGAAAAGAGAATACGTTGTGCAGCTATCTTGTCTTAAGAAACAAAAACAGTTTTGAAAAATGATAATAAAGCAAAAGATTATATATTTCTTACCCAATAGCCTTCTCGAGGATAGGCTCATCTTCATCAATCATGTGGTATGTCTTGGACAAGACAGTGTTCTTGAAGTAAGTGTTCTGATCAAAGAGAAACTCGAGCTTGAATCCTTTTGGTTCTTCAACTCTATTCCACTTGATATCTTTAAGATACTTGAGAGCACCTTCATCTCTCTCGGTTACCTAGAATCATGGACAAAAGGAGAGATTAAGTTAAAGAGAAGAGCCTTTTCAGACAAAAAACAAAAGAGAGTGTCCTAATAACAACCTCCTCAGCAGTAATGCAATAAGCCAGAAATGAGGTACTCCTTTCTCTGCACAAAAACAGATTTTCGTAATCATTAGAAACACGATTTCACTGTCATATGAAGCTAAAGAAAACAAAACCAAATTTCAGTGGTAAGTAATTGATAGCACACCTTCAGCTTTCTCCTCTCCTTGTTCTGCTTTTACTTCTTCCGGTGCACCTTCAACTTCCACCACACGTTGTTCTGCTGTATGAGATTACGACATTAGGAAAGCAGTATTAGTGGAGGTTTCATGTGTATAGGAAGCTAAAGAGCACATAAGCGAAGACAATATTCAAACCTTGGGATATAAAGGCTGATATAACTTTTGGTATTTAGCTTCTAGTGCCCTTTCCTCGAAGAATTTTTCTTCCATTTCATCGTATTGGTTCTACAAAAGTAAAATGAATAAGGAATCAGATAAGTTTACTCCAACAAATCGCATTAGACAAAGCAGCCAACTAATTCATAATCATCTAGATGGAAATTTACTCACTTGGATCTCTCTTAGAACCTCAACACGCTTCCTGACTGTCGGTGTCAAGTTTTCAAGGACATATGAGTGTGGTCCAGCCAAATTCTGCAACTTGTTCTGCACAAACACACAAAACAACAATCAAATTAGGATGCCAAGACAATCCTCAACCCAAAGTCCATTGCTCTAAAATCATTCAAGATAAATCAACTCTCACAATCCGCTACTAAAGTTTGCAAATGTTGAAACGAAAAATAACAATCAAATTAAGTTGCAGAGACAATCCTCAAAACTATAGAGAAGAAATAAAACCGAAATACTCTAAGACCCAGAAAGAGAAAACAATTCCTTAAGAGCAGCAATAAAAACCCAAATCGTCAGTTAAAACTCACCTTAGGAGCATTAACAAGCCCTGCTCGACCCTCCTCGTTAAGAGCTGCACAGCAAACACGGAAGAGATAGCTTTTTCAATCAATCTAGAAGGAAAAGAGGCAAATGAAACAGGCGTCGTTCAAGAATAATATGATAGAATTATACCGGATGTGAGATCGCTCATGTTCAAGCTGTCCTTGTCGTTGCTCATCTTCGCAAGAAAAGAATCTGGCGGAGGAAGAGGAAGATAAGAAACCTTAAAACCCTAGATTTTGGGGATAGTAGGAAAGACAAAAGACTTTCGTGCATGAGAAATGATAACTGATCACTGATCAAGTAGAAGCATGCAAACGGCGGCGAAATTCCATTCTTCCGGTGGTCCATGAGGCCATAGACGGAGGAGGCGGGCTATGAGAGTCTATGTAGAGGAACAAAATTGACAGAGGGCGAGAGATCCGGAGTCTGTGAAGTATATGGAGTTGTGGTTTGAAGATCTGACGCAACTAAGCCTTCCGATATTCATAACTGAATCGGGAGATCTGAGCCCTGATGTGATAGAGAGCTGTTTGATTTGTTACGCTAAGAAGCACATTCCCGGGATTTTCCGTTCTAACCGGAAACCACCACCGTCATCCTCAACCGCAGCTTCTGAGAATTAACAGAGAGATTTACTGGAGACGATAACCTCTCACCTTCCATTGGAAAAGAACTCAATCTCCGCAACCACGAGATTCCTCTTCGGTCTATTACGTGTATACGCTGGAGAGAAAGATTGGACCGCAAATTAACGGGGTGAAGAACGATTGAGACTGGAGAGACGAAGGAAGATGAAAGGGGTGAAGAACGGATTGAATGGATTCGATTTCACGGGAAAAAAAAAAAAATTAACGCTTTTTAAACCTAATAGCAAAGCGACGTCGTTTTGGAGGCACTAAAAAGGAGTAATTAAACATTTCGAAGGAAATGACAAAACGGCGTCGTTTTTGTGCCAGCGAAAAAAAAAAAGTGAGAACGCCAAACGACGTCGTTTTGGTGTTAGGGGGAGAAAAAAAAAGGTGCCACGTGTCCCTAGCTGGAATGTGTCCAAGCCTTATTAGTTATGTAGATTTAATTTTCTTATTTATCATTTTTTATTTCTCATATTGTTCGCCCCAAAACCTAAGTTTTAGGCTCTCATCTCTTTAAGCTTTTAGTTGTTTTATTAAAAGCTTCTTTAGTTTAAGCCAAAACTTAATCCTTTCTCTTCTCATCTTATTCTCTTTTGTAATGGTAACTTTAAATTAATGAAAACCCTTTATCAAAAAAACAAAAAAAATCTCATATTGTTAACCTTTTAGTTAAATATTTTGGTATATTTCTATAAAATTTGTTTAAGGAGATATATCTTACCAAAAAAAAGAGAGAAGGATATATACTTTCTTAAATTCAAATTTACTATTTTTATTTCAAATTTCATAAAACATTTTTTTCTTTTAATTGAAAAAAATTCAAAACAAATCTATTTAATTGTTATAAATTAACTATGAAGGATCGGAAGGAAAAGCAGGGCTGCCAAAATGTGATTGCTAGTTGTTTTGAGATGCAGAGATGGTTCTTTGGGAAGATGGTAGTGAAGTAAAGGCAGTTGACCTTAATTTAGAATGTAATTTAGAAATGTAGTTCTTGACGAATTTGTGAAACAAATCAACCAGTTATTGATTATAGGTCTGCTATTACTAGTCTTAGACTCTTAACGTTATTTAGTTACTTGTGAATTAGTATCATGCAAGAGCAATAGATACTTCTTAGTACTGAATATATCATGCAAGAGCAATAGATACTTGTGTTTCAGTATAACAATTACGGTAAAGAAAACGGCGAACAGTTTGGAAACCTTTTAAAATTATACATATGAAAGTTTTAGTTCTATCAATGTACTTTGAAAAGCCATAAGCAATACTTGTGGTCCACGAACCAGAGTAAAAAGCCCTAGAATTATAGAGATCCGCTGCATCATCTTATTCTGGAACAGGAACCAGACTTGGAACATATTCAAAGCAACGAATAGGAAAGCCAGAGCCATACTTGGACCATCTACGTCGTCAGGGCCGGCCCTGTAATTTCAGGGGCTCTATACAATTTAGGGGGTTTTTATAAAATTGGGGGCCAAAAATCGATTTTTAAAAATTTATGGGGCCAAACCTAATAGAAAATATCTCTAAAAAAAGGTGGGGCCAAAACATTTGTTTCTTATCGCTGCCCACAGGGCCGGCCCTGTACGTCGTCCTGGCACGACTTGTTCTCTGATGATCTCACCGTCACACATTTTGTAAACGGTATAGAGAATGCATTTAATATATTCATCTAATAGCAAGTGCCCGTACCATACCATGATACTATTAGTCTTGTGGTCGATGAAGTATGTCGGAAACTCGCAAGGACTTGAAACAAATCTCGGGAGGTCAGGGCGAGTCACGTTAAAATACTTACTCCACGAAACAACCACATCAGTCACCTTGTTTGTAACCCACACCTCAATCTTCACACCACTTTGATAATGTAATAAAGAAAGCCTATCTCTTTCGAAACCTGACAAGACCGCTTCATCAAAGGGAACACAACAGCCTATGTCTTTGAATGTCTCTCTGGAGAAATCGAAACTTGCGATTGTTTTGGAGTTATCCTTTTTCCTATAAGCAATCCAGTACATGTTTCCATCCATAGACAAAGCGTTAGACGGTGCATACCAAAGCTCTGCACACGGATCGAGACTAGCATCAACACTTCTCCAGAGTTTAGACCTAAACTCATATATATCAATCTCTAATTTGCCTTTGATATCAAGCCAGCCTCTGATCCTCAAGATCTTGTAGTTGTCACGGGATACACTGTCGTATCCAAAACCGAAACGATCAAATTTGCTGTTAGGGTTCGAGTTGATCCATTTGACTCGTCTTAAAAACGGATTCCAAACTGCAAGCATTCTTTTATCAGGATACCTTTGACATAGCAATAATCCGTCGCAGTGAATCATTGTACTAATATGATGAGATGGAGATCGGAGATATGTGAGAGTTTGCGTCTCAAGATTTAAGTGTTGAACTTTATTATGATGATCGACTTGTATGAATCCTTTCGGTGAGAGATCAAACTGTTTGTGTATGAATATATTGTCGTTTAAAAGAGCGTACCACTGTTTGCATACCGATTTGCATCGTACCAAAGATCCGATCGGAATCTTGTGAAATATCTCTTCTACTAACTCAATAGGAAGCGACGAAGCATGGAAAATTTTCAGAAAAACTAGGTCACGGCTCACGGCCAAGAGAAAACAAAGTCATTTTTGTACGTTAATATAGGGTTCTCAACTTGAAAAATAAATAAAGAAAAAGAAAAAAGAAAATTTAATATATTCTTATTAAATTTTAAATTTAATACATTATTATGAGATATTAGAAGAAGAAAAATATGAGATTCTGAAATATTAAAATATCTAACATTTGCATGTATTACTTACAGTAAATTTTTATTTTCTAATTATTATAATTATTATTTTCTTTATTTTAAGTTTTATATCTGAAGTTTATTCAATGTTATTTATGTATGTTTAATTGTCTTATTTAAATAAATATCACTAATTATTTTGTGCTGACTAAGTATATCTAAGTTCTAACTAATAGAATTGGTCATATATATTAAAGATAGAATTTGATATTTTCGAAATATTTTATAATATAAGATTAAAATTTCATATATAAGTTTTTCAATTAAATTATACAAAACCAATAAAAAGGTTAAAACAAAAAAAAACAAATTTTATTGGTGAGAACCCCATGTGGGTATATATTATCAATTTATCACAAATCGGAGAAAAAAATTGTGTAAGATTTTCAAAAGAAAATACATTGGAAATATTAATTTTGTTTTTCTGGTGAGTACCCCAATTTGTGTAAATTTTTATTGGTTAGGGTATCTCACTAATGGAATGGAGATGCTCTCAATTCTACAAAAAAAAATGATTATTCTCACAATTTTGTTTGTCACAATGCATAAATTTTCCGTCACAAAACTCTTATTGTGACAAAATTGTTACTAGTTGTAAAAGGTTAGAGTAGAATCATCACAAATCACGTTATGTCACAAAAATTGTCACAATGTGTTATGACGTTAATTTTTAGTAACAAATCGTCACCAATTGTTACACTATTAAAATAGTCACAAAGCCGACACAATTTATGACAGATAATATTGTAACAATTATGTCACAAATGGTGACACTAAATTCGTTAGATGTTTGTCACAATTTGTTACCATATTTTAGTTATTAATGTGTTACAAATTGTGACAAAATAATGTTAGAAACCACGTCACATTTCATGACAAATTTATTGTCACAAACACGTAACAATTTGTGATGGAAAATAATGTCATAATTCTGTTACATTTAGTGACAAAGTAATAGTCACATATTCGTCACAATATGAGGTTTGTTTGTGACGTTTTTAGCTACGGAGCTCGTTAGAAATTGTTACAAATTTGAAAAAAAAAAAACCATATAAACTTTGTCACACTACTCCCGTTTTTGTTTTTATTGAAAAAAATTATAAATTAAAGTACTAAACATAAAATAAACAGATGATGATATTACTTAACAAAATATCTTACAAACGTAATCAAAGAAACATGGAAGCAAATAGTATTTCACAAAATATAAACTAAACAAACTAAACAAAACAAAGGATAATTAAGTAGAATCTAGAAAATCTAGATTATGCGGACGATGTTCATGGTGGAGTTGGATCTACTGACTTGCAAAGGACTCAACCATTTTCTCCATAGCTTCAAGTCTTTTCTGAATCTCCTGATTTTCTTCACGGCTCTGTTGCAGTTCAGTTTCCATTACTTGCATCCGATTTGTTATCATCTCTACTTCAGAAGGTTGGGGTTCACTTGGAGAAGCATCGACTGATGGTAAACCCTCACCTATTGCTCCAAGGCCAAAGACAGGGCTTTGTTTAGAAGACCCAGGAGCACCAGCAGCAGCCTACAACGAAAGACACACAAAAAAGATAATAAAAACAAAATACACACTACAAGATAGTTAACATTTACATTACAACAAATAGCTTGTCACAACATGTAAACCATGCAATCAATCCAATAAGTTCCAGCGGTTCTTATTTTAGATCAACAAGATGAGAAAACAACTTAAACATACGATGTGTTATATCAGATTTTAGTCATACCTCTACACAGAATTCAGATTTTATTGCAAAAAGTTAAACATATAAACATACGAATGCTTCATAATATTTGTTAAAACTCTTGTTATTCACAACATAACTAAGACCCAGCGACAAAGACACAGGCAGGCAGGACAAACTGACGAAAACATTAGCTCAAACTTCTTATCAGTATAAAGTTTTGAAATACTACCTTGATATAAATCTCATTTTTCACACGTATGTCAAGATTTTCAGCTGTCACATTCTCTTGACCAGAAGCTTGTAGTTGTCTCAAGTGTTCTTGTAGAAGCTCCTCATAAGTCTCTGCAACCAGTTGTGCTCGTTGATCAGCGTATGTTCCATCAGGCTTCTGATTAGCTTTCTTCATCACAGCAATGAAAGAGTAATCTTCATTGTTTGCTTCCTGAAAACATACGTGCAATAAGAAACTTTACAGAAATAACAACAACTAAAAACCAGTAATGAAAAGGATAGAAATTACCAGAACATCTTGAACTTTGGCATAGGAACGTGAACCAGATATGTGGGAATGTGGACCCAAGCCACTGCGATCAGACAATCGAGAATTACGAGCCTTCTCGCTATTGGCTTTTGCTTTTGGTGTTGCCCAATAAGCTACCATGATGGTCCAATAGTCTTTCAAAATCCAGTCTGGTTTGACTCCAGTCCTCTTTGCATGACTTATCATACCTCTCAAACGATAAGCAGCAAGCTTATTAAACTCACTTTGAACTTGACCATTGATAGTAGGATCCCAATTAAACTTTCCCTGATAACAAAGTATATCAGAAACGATGAGTAACACTGGGAATGAAATCACGAAGTTAAATAACACGAAGTCTAATTTTTGTTTTTTGCTTTTGAAATCACGAGAATACCTTAAACAGATTAAACAATGCTTGTCTGTAGAAGGTTGACACTCTTTTCCAGGAGTACCATGGGCCTTTGAAGTAACTTTGAATGACCCTTCTTACAGCAGTTGATACTTGTGTGTGGTGCTTAAACCTGTTTCATTATAATAGATTACAGAAGAGTTATAAATCTGTAGAGAAGTCAACTGGTTTTAAGTAAAATACACATACCATTTAGCTCCATTTGCCCGAGAAGGATGCAGCATGGGTAAGTCCGAACGATCCACAAGTGCCTCTTCCATATCTACACAATACACACACAAATCCAATGTAAAAAAAAAAACAAAAACAAAAAAACAGAAGACAAATGAGAATAGCTCGAACAGGAAGATGATAACAGAGCAAACCGGAAAAGCCTTTAAATTGACTTATAGATTAGATTCTAAAAGTACAGAAATGTGAAGAACACCTTAATGAGAATCTCAGAAACTTAAGTGAAAGCCGTAAAGGAATATGATTTGCGAGGAAGGATCTACTTGATATAAAGGAAACTGGAGAGAACGGTTATTGAGAGGCTGAGTAAGATGGTTAGAAAATTGACACGTTTTGATATTGGGTAGTTTTCACAAATTTTTGGTTCTATTGCCAAATTTTAAGGCGGTATAATGACTTATCACGATATCGCCAAAAATTAGGGCTAAGCTTCACAAAATTTTAGCTAATATATTCATTATATATCTGCAACTATATGGCAGCTAATAATATATCGTAGAGATTTGATAGATTCATTAACTTAAATTAATGTTAGTTTTTATTATATACTTTAATAACAATGTAGAGATCCTAAATGAAATAGAAATCCTAGTCGGAACAAAAGTTCTATTTGGAATAGGAGTCATATTTGGAATATGAGTCATATTTGTAGAGTACTGGTCTATAGCTCAACTTCAAAACCCTTTCTTTTCTATAATATTATCAAGATCTTTGACGTCCTTTTATCCTGCATTGAAGCTTCACCGTCCACACTCACCACAAACCATGATCATAAGACAAGAAAGAAATTATATATTTATAACAAGTTTCACACGAAAACATGTATGATACCCATAACAACAACCGTAACACATTCAGAACAAGATTTATACCATAACCCATGACATAAGAAACTTCTTGTGCGTGAACATAAGAAGTGAAGCTTTGAATATGAGAAAAATATAACTTATGAGAAAGAAAAAAAAACACTAAATCAAGAACTTAAATTAAAAGCAGTGTGGAAATTGAATTCTCCATATTTCTAGTAATCCTTCTCGAATTCCTTTATCAATTCCTTTATCGGGATGAATCTCTCCATACTCATGGAAAACTCCTTTTTTGTTTAGATCAAAATCATGTGGCAATTTTTTATCTTTCTCCATTTGTTGACCAGATCCATCTTCCTGGTTAAACTCTTCTCCATCGTCTAAATAAAACGTTTTGTTTAGATCAAATTCATGTTGAATTTTTTTCGTCTTTTGCCTTATTTCTTGAACAAATTGTAGTTTCTTTGCCTTTTGATCATTTTCCGATCGATTCTGGTTTCATATTTTCTGTGAACATGAATTGAACAAAAAAAATTAGATCACATTTGAATAAGCAGCTTCAATTAAAATTTAAACAACATAAATTATCATTTATTAGAAAACATCTATAACCAAATATTAATAACTCTATATCAGATATAAAAATGTAGAATTTAATATAAAAACAAACACTACTTAACATACAATTTCAAAAACATATATACATAGAAATAAAATTTTATAAACAATATATAAAAACTAACACTTTTGGGAATCTGTAAAGAGAAATGAGAGGAATAGCTGCAAAATAATCGAGAGATATGGAAT